TTAATGAGAATAAAAAAAAAAAGAAAATTATTTTTACATATTTATAAGATCAATTTCATCGTGCTTGAATTAATACACTGAAGAAAAAAATTTATTTGATTCAAATACTCGATTACTTGACTATTATCAAATAAATATTTACTTGACTTAAATAATTTTTATTTGAATTAAATAAACTTTATTTGACTCAATAATTTCTGTATTTGAAAAAAATACAATCTCAAATAATAATTATTTGATACACAAATAAATATTTATTTGAATCAAATAAATATTTTAATAATTATTAATATTAATAGTCAAGTAACCGACTATTTGAATCAAATAAATTTTTTTTTTCAGTGTAATATTTAAAACTTTATTTTTTATTTAACTTTTTTAATTAAATAAAAATACACCAACAATAAATATATTTTGTTTGCGCATTTTATATCATAAAGAATATGTAAAGAAACATATTAAAATAATTTTCCACGACAACTTTCTTTATAATGAAAAAGAAAAAAAAAATTTTTGAAATTTATGTTTAAAAAAGTATCATATCAATCTCTTTGCAGATTGCCATCTGTTAGTGTATGATATGTTTGAGGATTTCTATAAGCTTCACTGCGAGCATTTTTCTTCTAAACAGACCGCGCACACTTTTTTGATCCTTGTTATTCTGAGAGTGTCCTGATGTTGTACATCCTACGCTCTCTCAACGAAACGGCGTCTCTTGTGACTAACCAATTAAATTTCGTTTTATCATTTTGAAAGAACAAGCATTCTAAATTCTCTCTGGAATTTTAATCCTAGTTTAAACATTAATCTTTGTTATAAAAGACATATATATTCGCAACAACTGATGTGCGATAAATCAAATTCGATTCGACTGATGATTTAGAAAAAAAAGGAATTAATCCTCATTGTTTTAATAATGAATTTAATAATACGTTTTTAATATTATTTAATAATTATTATTATTTAAATAAATTAATTTATTAATTTACAAATAATGATTAATAATAATTTCATTTATAATAATAATAATAATTACTTTTATTATTTAAATTAATTATTAATTCACAAATAATTATTAATAATAGTAACAATTTGTTAACAATAATTAATGTAATAATTAATTAATAATAATAATTTTTAAACTAAAATATTAAATTTGTTTTAACTTTTAACTAAATAAAACTAATTTTTTTCTTTAAAAAAAAAATATATAAAAATTATATTTTCTTTTTTTAAAAAATTTTTCTCGATCTCTAATTTCTGCGAATGATATATATATCCAGTAGAATTCAGAGCACTTGAAGCGTTCAATAATTGACAATAATAGCTATGAGTCGCCAAGTGAACATTTTCATTTGAAATTTTAAATTAAATTGTTTTTCATTTGACTCTGATCATCATTTTGAAATAAAAAGGAAAATTCTTACCACAACTATATAATGGTAGAAATAATTTTATGGTATGAGGACAATTCACCTCGTTAGTCCATACAAAATTCCATTGGCCATTTTTGTCTTTGTTGCTTATTTTATTGCGCGTTAAAAAAAAGCCTGTTGTCCTTGTAATTAAAAAAAAAATTATATATCTGAGTATCTTGTTACACACATTGTCAGGAAATGTTCTCGAGAACAATAATTAATCCTCGTATAGTGTTAATGCATTTATAACATTATTTCCTTTCTTTAAGTCGACTTTACTCCCGTGTTAGTTGGTTTGCCATTCTCAAGGCGCGTCGTATTTTTTTAATCCACTTTTATCCTTCTTAAACCTTCACATTATAATTACATTCTTAAAATTGCGTAATATATTTAACTCAATTATATTATTATATAATTGTAGGTATTATTAAATAATTATAGTATGTCATATTATCATATTATAATATTATAATATTATAATAATACAATAATATAATAATATAATACTAATATATTACAATTTTTTTTATTTTTATTACAAATATTTTTATATAATTGTTTTTTTAATTCATGAAACAAAAATATAGAATAATTTTTATCAATTGAGAAAACAAGCTCCGGGAGTAGGTAAATAATTTTTCGAGCGTCATTATGGTTTCTGTTTTACCAACCTCGAATGATATAACGAAAAATACCTCTTCTCTTTATAATCAATAAAATAATTTTTCAATAAAAATTGTTGAAAAAAATAATTTTTTATTATTTACAACATTGATTATAAATTGAAATTGTGGAAAATGAAAAAAAAAAAATTGCAAAAAGTTATGGGTCGGATCATATTGACCAGGCTGCCAGTGTAATTCCACTCCCGGGCGCGATCCCACTACTGCCCGCCACGGAGACTTTTGGCTGCTGGGTTTCCCCTCTGGCCCGATTCGCCTCTCCTTAGCCAACCTGGCCACCCTGGACTCCTCCAGGGTGCCCATATTGATGGCGAGCTTAGTGCGGACGCCCAGTCAACGTGGACACTACATCAGCAGTGACCCCCGACCTCAGGCCCTCCACCATAACTAGCCTCCAAGTAGCTGGATTACAGGAGTCGCCACACTCCCAGCTGAAAATAATAACTTCTCATCGTCCATATAAATTGTAACTTGATTTGACCTAGAAAAAAATTAATTTTTACAATAAATCTCTTTTTTTTGGAGAAATAATAATTTTTTTCAAAGCTTAATTAATTTTGAAAGGAAAAAAAATTTTTTCTTTTATTATTTTACCATTGAAACAAATGTAATACGCGAGCGTAAGCTCCGCCCACTTGAGTTCTCTGCTATGTGCTTGAAAGATAGTTGACGATCGAAATTTAAAAAAAACATTTATTTTAATAATTTTATTACAAAAATATTATTTTTGACAATTAAGTATATATATAAAGGATTAAAAAAAAATAGTTAAGGTGAAAAAATTATTTAATTCAAATAATCGATTGACTATTATTAAATAAATATTTATTTTTATTAAATAATTATTACTTAATTAAATGGTAATTATTATTTAATTAAATGGGTAATTATTTCAATTAAATGGTACTTGTTTCAAATACAGAAATTATTGATTCAAATAAAGTTTATTTAATTGAAATAAAAAATTATTTGGTCAAATATAGATATTTTTATTTAATTCAAATAAGTTATATTTGATTTGAATAAAAAAATTTCTCTGTGTTAAGTAAAACAAAATTTTCAAATGTAGATTAAAAAGCAAATCTTGTAAAACTTCAAAAAAAACAAATTTTCATATTTGGTAGTAAAAATTAATAATATTTTGAAATATTATTGTTATAATTTAAATATAATTTACAAAAATTAATGGAAAAAAAGAGATAATAAAATAGCAAATTAAAAATTTTGTTCTAACAAAAGACAATTTTATTTTAACCAATGAAATGTAGATATGTATATACATATATTCATTTAAAAAATGATCTTAATGAGATTTTATTTCACAGTGCAAGAGTTTTGAAATTACCTATTGTTTTAGTGACAAACCTTATTTCCTCTTGTGACCATTCTCACCATATTTAAAGACACATAGATTTCTATAGATTTCAACTATTCGCTATAATTTTAATTTTTATTTTTGACTCATTATTTACATTTTTTTTTTTTATTTAACCAAATAGTATGCGAATTAAATAAAAAATATATATTTGACTAAATAACTGTTTATTATGTTTCAAATAAAAAAATGAAATTTGATACATTAAATTTTATTTGGCTCTTTATTTAATTTTTATATTTGAACCATAAAAAAATTTCAAAAAAAAGAACAATTTGTTAGTAGAAAAAAACCGCGAATATGATTAAAATTAAAAATAATGTACAATTAAAAATTTATTGAAAGGAAAATTTTTCATTTACAAAGAAAGAAAATTCTTTGAGATTCATTCGAATGTGTAATTCAAGAATTAAAAAATTCATTGAAAGAAACAGGATCAATATTTTCAAGGCTCAATATTATAACAGATATAATATATTACATACATTATGGAAAAAAAATTTCTATTTTATACACAAGATAATATGTGTGGAATTAATTATTATTGATGTGAAAGTATTTAAAAAAAATATTTTCTTTCAATTATATAAAGAATTAAAGAAAAAAATTTACTGTACCACATATAAATTTGAAGTTTCTCATAAACATTAACTATTATTAAAGGTCAAAATCATTTTTATTTACAAAAAATATATTTAAAAAAAAAAACAAAAAATTGATCTTGGTTCTAATTTTTTCTTTTCAAATATAATTGAGAAAGTGAAAATAAAAAAAGAAAAATGTTGAAATTATGTATATAGTTGTGCAGAAACGTGGGACTAATTTTGACATTTTTATGATGCCACTATGGTTGCTTTTCAAATTTTTCTGGGACAGAATTTTTACTTGAGAGTGACAATAGGGTGACGACACTTAATAACAAAATTACTAATGACGCAAACTTGAGATGAAATACATAATATATTTACAAACATTATGCAATTGATTTTTTCACATTTCTATTTTTTTTTCATGAATTTGTATCTTATTGGTGGAGTTTCTTTTTTTTTTATTACGTCTATAGAAATTATAATAATAAAGTAAAGTGCAATTATAAATATATCTAAATCGATTAAGAATAATAATTAATTATATTTTATAGATAGTTAATTATTACAAATTGATAATTGATTATATTTTCAAATGAATTAATGATTATAAATTAATATTATTAAATTAATTAATTATTAAAAACTATTTGAATAGAAATATCGAATTTTTGATAATACTAAAAATTTGAACAAATTCGAATTTTTGGTACTATTCGTGGCGCCTTTTTTTAAAAAAAAAAACAAAAAGAGGAATTTTTTTTCTTTTTGAATTTCGGTTTTTCTGTGAATGTGTATATAATGTGAGTGTCACGTGGTGCGATTCAAGAGGACTTTAAGGCCCGGCAAAAGTCAAATGTTTGATCAATAAAGTCGAGTGTGTTCTCGTGAAGTCTTTAAGAAGCCTTCCTCTGGAGGCAGAGATCGGACCCAGAAGAGTGGGGAGCTCATATAAGACCCGTAGCCAAACGGTTCTCCCAGTGACCAGTCCCGAGACACGAAAACCCATCAGCCGAAGCTTCTTTCTCTACTTCAATTGTTTGGGGAAAAAAATTTTTTTTTTTACCATTCTGTACCATTTCATGGTACCAAAATAGGAATAATTGATAACAAATAAAAACAAAGAATGGTACCGCTACAAATTGCTTCGCTTTTCCTGGTGCTGATCTTTGCCCATGGTAAGTTGTTGTTGTTGTTTTTTTCTGCAAATTAATTTCCTTTTTTTTTTAAATATTATTATTTGGTATATTTACATTACTCTTGACAGTAAATTTTTTTTAATTAAAAAAATTATTGTGCCCTACAAATTTTTTTTTATTATTCATATTTTTTTCTCTGTTATAGTTTTTTTTTATGTATTGGAAGCAAATATTTTTATCATTCAATTATAAGAATTATTTATTATTTTTCAAGTGAAAAATTAAATAAATTAAATTAATTATAGAAAACTTAATTTTTTCGAAAGACATTTGTTTACGTTTCTTCTTGAATTTCATTTTTTAAATTCTTTTTTAATATTACGTTGCATTTTGCTTACTGATGGTTTTTTTATACTTTGATATATAGTTCTTGTACTATTTTTAAATTTTACAGTCGGTACTATTTTTATTTTTAATAATTTTTAATTTAATTTAATTTTTGTTTGTTTGTTTGTTTTTTTTTATTATAGTATGTCTATTATACTTTCACAGTATCCATTGTGTTTTTTTGTATTATCCTTTTTTTATTGCTATTTCTTTTTTTAATTTTAATATATTTTAAACAAATTTTATTTTTTCGTATTTTTTTATTGTTTTACGATTTTTATTTTCGGTTAGCATCCAAGTGTTATATCCAACTATAATTATATTTTAGGTTACATTTTTCTCCGTTAAAATTGAATTTAAACTATTTTTTATACTCTCAATCGTTTTAAATATGTTATTTAAATTATAATAATTATTGTAATGATAATTATCATTAAACAAATAATAAGAATAAAAGTAATAATATTAGTGTCAAATTTTTATTATTATTATTATCATTATCATTAACAGTATCATTTACTTATTTATAGTATAAACGGTTTATTACTATAAATAAAGTTTATAATTCAATTATAAATTTTTTTAAATATTTTATGTTATAAATTTATGATTTTATTAATTTTTTACTCTTTTCTATTTTTAATTATTTATTTTTTTCTAATTTTAAATTTTATTTATACTAAATTATCTTATGGGCAATATTATATTTTTTCTTCGACTCTTAAACATTACTGGAAATTCAAATATTAATAATTTTAATTAATAAATTTAATACATATTTTTCGAGTTTTAGTTTAAACTTATACTTAAAAATTAGCATAAAATTTGATACTAATTTGCGAATTTGTTTATATTAAATAAAATTTAATTTTTATTAGTTATTTAATTCATATTAGTTAATTAATTTATATTGATAAATTAATTCATAGTAATTAATTAATATATATATTAATTAATTAACTGGACTTATTTACTGATTTTTATTTTATTTTGGGGTAGTTTTTTTTAATTGTTAGATATTATTTTTTCTTTTTAATTTCATTAAATTATTTTTCTTCGCTTTGCACTTTTTTTTGTATGAATGTATATAAACCTATGTCACTGAACTCGGCAAGTTTTCAATTTCATTCGATTTCACTTTCATTTTTTATCACTATAACTTAACACCTTTTTTTTTTATTTTTTTTAACATTAAGAATTTTTAATTTACACTATCTTGAATTCTCCATTATATTTCTATTTTTAATTCTCCTTCTATCTTTCTTTTTTAGCATCGCGAGACCTGTCTTTCAATTCCCTTTCAGTTCAATTACAAATAATTAACCGCACGAATATAACTTTCGATATTCATACATAAATTTCACATTCCATTGAGACTTTATCAGACCTCTTTAAAGGTCAGTGCTACGATTTCTTCGAAAGTGACTTAATTACAATATAAAAGAGCATAACTATTAATCGTTATCGTGAATATCAAATCCAAAAATTTGTCGAAAGTGAGAATAATTTTTTTTTCCCCCATGAATATATTAATTCAATTCAATATTAATTAAAGCAATTTTTTTCATCTAGAAATTAATTAGCGTGAAATATATTTATAAAAAAATTAAATATACTGGATTATCGCGAGAGAAGAGAGATTAAATAATTAATGAGTAATATAAAAAAAAATTGTAATAGCTCTCACGAAGGTGTTTTTTTTTTGAAAGAGAGAAGAGGGGGAAAAAGAAATGATTCTCCATATAAAGAAGAGGAGAGTTTGACCTAGATTTGAAAGTGACAACTTGTCATCAGTTTGTCGAGCATCACACTCGTATATTTATCCCAGGTGTGTAATTAGTTGTGCATCATCTTCATAAAAGACAATAGTGTCCAATCGTTGAGTTTCGCACATCTTAAAAACTTTCTCTTGCTTCTTAACGGGTGAAAATATGAAAGTAGCTCAGGAATCAGTTTTACTCTTTCTCTCTCTCTCTCCGTTCTTCTATCTCTTTTTATCTATTTATTATTTCAATAATAAATTATTTATTTACAATAATTTGACGCAATATATATTTATATGAATAATTATTATAAACAAATTCTGTAAGAAAATGTAAAAATATTTTCGAATTTTGTTTTTCAAGTTCCAATTTTTGTTTCATAACAAAAAGTTTAGTTCCAAAGATTTTCTTTGTTATGAAAAATTTTTGTTTTAAATATCCATTTGCTTTTATTTCGAATAATTTTAGTTCCTTAAATTTTTCTATAAGTTGAAATAATTTTTTTCAATTCGAAAAAATTGGTCCTAATTTATTTGTTTAGTTCTTTTTCTCTATTTAGTACTTTAGTATTAGTATAAAAAAAAAATTTCCTTTTTAGCAAAAAAATTTTCGTTTTTCAAATTTTCCTTTGGCTAGAAGAAAAAATTGTTTCTAAAAAAAGGTTCATCCACCATTCTCTTTGGCCTCTAAAAATTTAGCTAGACTATAAATAAAAAGTTTTCCTTGGTAGCAAAAAAAATTCTGTTTTCAAATTTTTCCTTTGGCTACAAAAAAAAAAAAAAATTGTTTCATTGGTACCAAAACTTTTCTCCTGTCAACTAGATATTTCTTCTATCATTTGATTTCTATGTAGAAATTTTCTAAAATAATTTTTCCGATCTTAATAATTCAATAATAAATTTATAAAAAATAAGAAGTGGAGTAAAAACTTTTGTAATGATTTTTTATCCGATAGTTATTGAACTTTCTGCGGAAGGAGTACATATATATATATATATATATATATATATAGAGGAATAAACTATATATTATAATAATACATATAAATGAAAGGCGGGGCCAGCAACCTCGCCTCGACGAGACACATACACATAGGAAAATTTTCTAAGGATCGTAAACATTACTAGACGATCACTCTTTACGGTTGTTGTAAAAGAAGGAAGGGAAAGTAACCCAGTGCCTCGACTCTGCAAAACTCGTCTTATAATTTCTTACATAATTCTTCTCAAAGAGCCTAAAAAAGATGTCTCATAGCGTCAGAATCACACCCACACGCAAAATTGCGTTGCCTCATGTCTCATTTATATATATTTTATAAAATCATCTCCTTTCACAAGCATAATAATGACAATATAATTAGATCAGTCACGAAATTCAAATAGAACTTTTTAATTTAATAATTTAATAAATAGATAATTATTTCAATAAAAAATTATTTCAGTAATTAATTATTTAAATAGATAATTATTTCAATGCATTAATATTTGAATAATTAATTATTTCAATACATAATTATTTGAATAATTAATTATTTCAATAAATAATTATATGCACAGTTAATTATTTAAATAATTAGATAATTAATAAATAATTCAGAGTAATTAATTTTTTTTCGCGGTCAAGGTCATAGTGAATATATATATTGAGGAGGAGGGGAAAAAAAGGGGGAAGTGTGATTTAGAGATTTTTCAGAGTGAAAGGGGTCAATGATTTATGCTTAATGCTGGCTCGAGGCCATTGAAGAAAGTAAAAGTAATTTTTTTTCCTGTTTATGTATACTTGCTTTGCGGACTTGGGTTAAAATTCATATACATGATCGTTTATCATTCGTCAGATGTATTTTTTTTCTGTTTTTTTCTTTTCTGCTTTTTAAGAATCCTCAACAGGTGAAGTTTTATTTGTATATTTAACAGTGAGAATCAAAATATAAAATTTTTTTCATATATTGAAATCGACATTTTGAATTTTAAAAATCGAATCAAATCTTTAATAATTTATCATTTATATTACATAATAACATATAGATAGCTGTCATTAAATGTTATTCGTTATTAAAACTTTCCCGAAAGTCGTCGTCATTTCGCAGGATTTCGTCAGCTAAATTTATATTTATTGCTTGAGAGAGGATATTATTTAAAAAAAAAATTTTACCCAATCTTGCGATAATTATTATTTTTGCTCATTCAAAGAATTATTATTTGATTCGTATAAAAGTTGAAATTTTTTTTACTAGGAGCCTGACACGAGATTTGAAGTAGTGTTAACAATTTTTTTTTTTATTTCTAAATCTAAATTATTTTTTTTTTAAGTTGCAACAATTTAGTTATTTATTTTTTTGTCTTATATTATTTTTTATTCATTACTTGATGTTTTAATACTTTTATTTATTGTTATTTTTATTAATTACTTTTTTATTAATTACTTGCTTTGAAAAATTTGAAACAATTTATATATATATAGAAATAAAAATTGATATAAAAAAATTTTTAAGTTTCACTGTATAAAAAAAATGGACCTAATTCTTTTATTATTTATTTTTTTTTTCGCTTTTAAAAAAGCCACGAGCACTTTCCATTAAAACGCATAGTGATTCTTAAAAGAAATCCAATTAAAATTTCCGAATGCAACGATCTACCTGATTAGACTGCCAAAAGGGGGAGGTATATACTTAGTTCCTTAAATGACGTCCAATTAAGAAAGCGATTAATTAAAATGCGTATGCAAAATGTATACATTTATTCACATCGCAGATAATTTTCAAAGTCATCAATTAATTATATATATTTCGGCGATTCATCCTCTTAGCGCCGCGAGAGATTCTCAAAAGGGAATTATTTAACCCTTTTTATCTTTTTTTCCTCTGGTAATCTTCCTCTTGCATTAAATTATTTTCGTTCCCATCGAAATAAAAAAAAAAAAATTTTAATGTAGAGTATACTTATCTGTTTATTTTATTATTGAATTATATTTATTAATTAAATATTTATTAATTATTTATTTACTTATTTATTTAGTGAATATTTTTTATTTATTTTATTATATTGTTAAAAATATGAGAAAAAAATAGAGAATAGATAATATATAAAAAAATGAGAATTAATGAGAGGAGGAACTAAATAATAAAGGATCAAAAATCTTTCTTTGGGGGTTGAGGGGGAAAAGAGGGTACCTCATATGAAGGTTGCAAGTCAAGGCTATAGGTACTTTCACTCTTAAACGCTCTCTTGGGAGCGTAGTTTCAGGACACTTCCCACCTTACTTTACTATTTACTTTTGCCACATGCCAACCACCGGAATACGTTTTATTCTTGATAGACTATTATTTACTTTTGACTCTCTCTAAAAAAAAAAGATCCCCCGATTCAAAACATGGCAATTGCAACTTGATTTATTTTTTTTTAAAAAAATTTACCTATATTCACTTTTCACTATTTTTTTAGCTCGAAATAGAATATACTGTATATAATTATATATACTAATAATATTAATGATAATAATAATAAAAAATAATAATAGGACCTAATAATAATATAGAATTATATATAGTACTGTAATTATTATTATAATTTTTTTTTGTTGTTGTTATATAATTTACAAATTACAATTTATTATTCATAAATTAAATTAACTCTTTGAGGTCCTCTGGAATATTTTTTGTACCCCAATGTAAGTTATAAAAAAAAAATTTAATGCAAATTTAAAAATTAATTAATTAATAAGAAAATTTGAAAAAAAAATTACTATACTTTATTTGTTTATTGATTGTATAAACTTTTATAAAAAAAAAAAAATTGTTACTCTCTTTAGAAATCCCAAGTATAGTTTACTTTCATCAATCTCATTTGATCAAACCTAACTATGTATCTTGACATTTTCATGTCTTTTATCACGAACTACTTCAGTGAATTATAATCATATATATGTATAAATGAGCAGTGAAAGTATACCAATAATTAACGAAAATAATATTACTTTCTTTTCCAGTTTTTTGATTAATTATAAATTTTACTTTCACAACTATCATTTATTATTATATATATTAATTATAAATTCAAGATATACTTTTATGATATTGAATCATTCGTCAATTTTTCGTTTGAGTGAAACCATTTTATTTTTTTTTTCTAATTTCCTAATAACATAATACATATATAATATGTATATATATATATATATATATATATATATATATATATATATATATATAGAATTGTATGAATATTTAATGACGTTTCATAATCTCTAATATGGTCTTCTATTATACATTTTTCAATTTTCTCTTTTTTATAATATATTCTCACATTTCTTTTATTATAATATATAAATATATACAGTGGAAATATAAAATTTTTCTTTTGTTTGATTTAAATCGAAAAAAAAAATTTTGTGTAAAAAAGGTATTTTGTTACATTGAAGTATAACTTTTTGGAAAAAGTATTTTTTTTATAAAGATATTTCTGTGCAAAAGTAACTTTTTTAAAGGGAGTATTTTTTTTATAAAAGGTATTTCTGTACGAAAGTAACTTTTACAAAAAAATGTTTGTACATAGAAGTAACTTTAATTTAGAAATATATTCCTAAATGTTATATATAACGAATAGGTGATAAAAAAAATATATGTATATATATTTTATATGATAGAAAATCCAGAATTTCTAGGAATAAATTTAAAGGAAAGCACATATAATTATCAAGTAGCCAACGAACTAATGTCTGTAATGGATTACCGCACATACTTGTCTGTTACAAACACCTCCATATATATAAATAATAAGGAAACCAGTTTTAAGTATATACATCCCACCTTTTGCTGCTGCTCTTTACTTTCGCCGAACCCAGTCATCAAGACGCACATCTTATCGACGCGCGTGACTTTGCCATTTTAACTATAATTTACAAAAAAAAATTTTTTTTTCCACAATATTGCCAAGAAATAATTGAGAGAATTATCTTTGATTTTTTTTGCACTCTTCTATAATCTTGGTGTTAATTGCATCGCAAATAATTTTTAATTAGTTTCATTTTTAATTCACCATAGTAAAGTGATATATATATATTTTTTTGTAACCAAAGCGTGATAATTGTAATTTATTGCAAGGAAAATTTTTATAGAATGATAAATGATTTTAATTTGCAAAGAATATTTTTTTTAATTTAAACAATTTATTGAAAGTTTTGTTATTATTACTTATTGTTTGAAAAATATTTTTAATATATATATATATATATATATATATATATATATATATATATATATAAATTTAGAATATATTTATTTTAATTAATTATTAATTTTGTAAATTATTATTTAAAGTTATTGACATGTCAAGGAAAATAAATAAAAAAAATCTCTTGTCAGAAGCATTGTTTCTTTGAGGTGAAAAATATGTGAAGAAACTATTCAAGTAGGTGTGGAAACATGGCGTGTAGGAAGTATAATATTGTCACCTGTTCACTTAGAAAATGATTTACCGCGTGTGGTTGAGTGAAAATTATTTTATTTTTTTTGCTCAATTTATGTCTAGAAAGTCAACAATGACAAACGAGACTTTACTGACTTAAAATATATATAAATAATGAATTTTTTAATTATTTTTTAACTTTCACTAATTTAAATGACAAATAATCAATTTTTATTTTTTTATCATTTACAACATAAATTCAAATTATTTATTTTTTTTTTTTCAAATTTTTTTTATCTGAATGTATAACGATATATTTATATCACCTATGCCTATTTTGTCAGAAGGAAATTCCCGCGATTTCTCTAAATTAAAAAAAGGAAAAATAAACGTTTATATATACCAGACGACTTTATATATTGTGTTGCATAATCGTATTAACTCTATAAAAGAAATTTTAAGATGAGTTCCTGTTTTTTTTTCATATATAAGAATTCTATATTTTGCAACATACAAAAAAAAACCATAGAAAAAACATTAAAATAATAAATGTGTAATAAACGCAGTAAAATACAAACTTCCTAATTGCTATTTATGCTTAGATACAAAAAAAAAAAATAAAAAATAAAAATTTCTTTTAGAATTTTATGTAAGCCATTGATTCTCTATTCTTTATTCAAAGACTCTAAACCGACACGTTTATTGTCAATTTTCTAGAAAACAAAGGAAAGTTGGAATATATTTGTACAAAAATATTTTACATATATTAAAAAAAAAAAAAATAGTAAAATTTATTAAAATAATTATTTAAATTTGGAATTTTTCTTATATTAATAAATAATTTTTATTGAAAAGAAGAAAAGAGACTTATGTGCAAAAAAAAATTTATACAAAGGCCAATTATTAAATTTCAAAGAGTAATGTAAAAAATACCATGTGAAACAAAATATTTACCTGAAATAGCGAAAGTATTTGCTATTCTGGAGAAACATATCGCTGTTTCAGATAAAGATTTTTTTTCGTAATAAAAATAATTTTAAGATTATATTAAATTTCAATTAGGTAATATGTAAAAAAAATTATATAATAATTATAATAATAAAAAAAATTTAAATTTCAGGATTGCATGGACAAAAGCAACAACAGGAAGATCCTTGTCAATCGAAGGCAAGAGTTGTTGGTGATATTGAATATTGTGATCGTTATTGGGAATGCGTGAGTGGACGTCCAGAATTATTTGATTGTCCAAATGGATTAGTATTTGCTGGTAAACATAGAGGTGTCACGGAGGGTTGTGATTATCCATGGAGGGCAAATTATTGTGACGGTAAACGTCAAGCAAATCCACCAATAGGCGCCGATCATTGTGATTGGCTCTATGGTATATTTGGCCATGAAACATCATGTACCAGATATTGGACATGTTGGAATGGCACTGCCACTGAACAACTATGCATTGGTGGTCTTCTTTATAATGAAAGGGCACGTTCTTGTGATTGGCCCGAAAATGTTGAGGGTTGCCAAAAACATCGTAAGCATCAAATTTTTTTTTATATTTTAACAATTACTTTTTTAATTAATTAGAAAAAAAAGCAAATTTTTATTGTTTTAATTATTCTTTTTAATTGTAGTATTATTTATTTATACATAAAAGTAATATTTATAAAAAGCATTTTTTAGAAGGAGTATTTTTTGTAAAAGGTATTTCTGTACAAAAGTAACTTTTTTAAAGAGTATTTTTATGTGGAAGTAACTTTTATGATTGGAGTATTTTTTAAAAGGTATTTATGTACAAAAGTAACTTTTTTAAAAAGAGTATTTTTATGTAGAAGTAACTTTTATGATTGGAGTATTTTTTAAAAGGTATTTTTGTGCAAAAGTAACTTTTTTAAAAAGAGTATTTTTTTAAAGTAGGTACTTCTGTACAAAAGTAACTTTTTTAAAGAGTAGTTTTTAATAAAGGTATTTCTGTAGAAGAGTAACTTTTCTAAAAAGTATTTATACATAGAAGCAACTTTTGTTTTTGTTTTTTTATTTAATTTAATATATAAATGTCAAATTTTACTAGATAGTGATGAATTCACTTAGATATGGGGTTTTTAACTGCGCGGGAGTTTTCACTTTTGAAAGGAAGTCAGATGAATGATCTGTGAGAAATCACTGCACCCGAGTATATATGAAATAGAGATACATGCGGTATAAAAGGCGAGGCAACTAATTAACATTCAATGTATACGTTCTCGTCGCGCCTTCACGAATATACATTACGTTTATCCCACGCATTATAATTTCGTTGGAAGCCAGTAACATTAACTGTTCATTCAAAAAAAAAAAAAAAAAAAAAATCCCCACAGGTCCCCGTTGTCCATTTTAATATGCTTTTGCATTTTATCTCAAAAACTCTCATGAAAACCACATTTATAATCTTTTATATTCATTTTATATTAGCTTCTTTATAGAAACAAGGAAATTATTTATTTGATTTTAGAAATAAATTTTATAGGAAAAATATTTTTGTATAGAAGTAACTTTACATAAAAGTATTTGTGTATAGAAATAACTTTTACAAATAAAAGTATTTTTGAATACAATTAACTTTTGGACAAAAGTATTTCTGAATACAATTAACTTTTGTACAAAAGTATTTTTGTATAGGAGCAACTTTTAGAGCAACGCTATTTGTATTCTGTTGTTTTAAATACAAAAATACTTTTTGTACAAAGGTTACTTTAATAGAAAAATTATTTTTTTTACTTAAGTTTTTTCTATACAAAAATACTTTTTGTACAAAAGTTTAAATTATAGAAAAATACTTTTTTGTAAGTGTTACGTATACATAAATTACTTTTGTTACTTCCATAGTCTATACAAAAATAATTTTTGTACAAAAGTTACTTTTATATACAAAAATACTATTTTGTAGGTTACTTCCACACTCTAATTTTTTTTATATAATTTACTTCAATAGAAAAAAATACTTTTTGTACAAAATTTATTTGTGTACAAAAATACTTTTTTACATAAGTTACTTTTTTATTCCTGTATAATATATATTTATTAAGAAGTAACTTTTGCATCGCAAAAAAAAACTACAACAAAAAAATTTGTTTTTTATTCATTTTCTATTGGGCAATTATTATTATTATTGTTATTATGAAAATTGTTGTTTAAAAATGAAAAATTTTTCAGCACTATGCAATGACGATGCAAATGGAAATGTTCCATTGGGAAAATCATGTAATCGTTATTGGCAATGTCAAGGTGGATATCCACGTTTACAAAGATGTCCAGCAATGTTGGTATTTGATAGGCGATCATTAAGATGTGTTGTACCACCAACGGAAGATTGTGATGTACCAACAACACCGCCAACACTTGAGGGTGAATTGGCCGAAGGTGGAAATGAACAAGAACCAGAAGAAGAAAATCTCCCACCTGGAATAGCGTCACTTCCATCGGGTTCTTTACCCCTTCCCCTTCGACCCCGCAATAGAAATTAATAATAATACCTCTCTATAATTATTATTATTATTGAAAAAATCGTTATTTCCTATAGATGTAAAAAAATGAAATCGCAAATTATTTTTGAATTGAAAAACTGAAATTTCTAATTTTTAATAATATTGGTAAATTTCAGTTTTTGATATTTTGATAAAAGTGAAAGATTTACATTTTTAAATGTGATGAAAGAATTTTTACATTTTTTTTAAAAAGTATTTTCTGTGGAAATTATTATTGTTAAAAAAAGTATTTTTTTTTCCAAATATTTTTATCATGAAAAATGTGATTTTTTATATAAAAAGTATTTTCTGAAGAAAATTCTTTTTTACAAATTTATTTGATGATAAAATTTATTACAAACAAAAAAAAATGTAAGAATTATTTTCTTTTTTTTTCGAAAAAAATGGAAGATCTGTCACTATTGTTTTTGATAAAATTAATAAGTTTTGTTATTTACTTTTTTTTTTGTTAAAATGTACAAGAGTTTGAGAATGTAATAACTTTCTTTAAGAGGAATGCGATAATTAATTGAAGGTGTTACCTTCGTTTAATAGCAATTAAGTATATATAAATATTTTTTTTTTTAAATAGAGTTTTCTATACGATTAGATTTCTCTCGTATTATCAACCTTAACATTCGCTTTTCATTATCGCCAATCGAAATGTAAATATTTCTCTCCATCTGCTTATGCGAAGCTGTACGCAATTCATAGTCTTTTTTTTATATATATAATCATATATGGAAAATAAAGTGTAATGCTGTATATTTTTTTAATACCTAAGCCTAAAAATTAAGCTTCTTTATTTATTTTCACCCCTTTTTCACAAAATATACAATTTTATTATTTTTTTTGCCATGAGAAACATAATTTTTGTTGTATTTACTTCTTTCAATAAGAAAGAAAATTAATTATTAAAAGTATTTGCAAAAATTATTTTTTAATTAAATAGTTTTTAATATAGTATTAAAAATTATTCTATATACATATAATGAGAAAAAAAAAATTTATATCTATTAAATTGTTCTTTATAGGAATTTATTTATTTACAAGTATAGAGAAATTTTGAAAGACTGCTTTGTTGATTTTTGTTGTTGGAGCTCGGATTTTTTTTCCTTTTTTAAAGATGATTGGCACTAAAAAAAAAATCAGAAAATATTCATTTGTAAATAATTAAAAAATATTTTTTGTCCTGCTCTAATTTATAAAAATAGAATACAAAAAAAGTGGAAACTTTTGAAATTTCTTGTACGTTAATTTATTGAAATAATAATAATAAATATAACAATTATTATTATTACTATTTCTGTTTTTTCCTCATAGAGAAAGTATATTTTATTTTCCCTCGATATTATGAATAAATAAAATTTAATTTAGAATATTAATTAGAGAAAATAAAAAAAAATACTAACCAATGTGGGAGTTCGTCTGGGTCCAAACAACTTAGAGTTTCAGAATCAAAAAGTTTTCCATCACCACAGGTGATAAGTCGTGGATGACCTTCTACGCATGTAATCAATCTTCCACAATCCCCAGGAACTGGAAATCTAAAACCAGAAGCATATTTATAATAAATTAAAATAAATAAATTTAATAATATTAATATATTATTATTTTAATATTTTAATAGATTATTTTAAAATAGAAATCTTGTTGCGTGAAAAATAGGGAATTTTTTTTTTAAATAAATATAAATATATTTGCCTTGGGAATGGCCAAAATTTGGCAGCGGCAGTATGTGCTGGTACTTTTTTAGGACATTTGAATCCAATAACTTGCTCGGGATTACAGAAGGGCAAAAGTTGATCTGGCCAAACGCAAGTATGTGATTTTTCATCATAAACTAAACCAGCATCACAATGCTCCTGAAGTGGATCTCCATGTACACATTTTATATATGTTTGACTGCAAGAATCACTGTCGGGATAAATTCCAAATTGATATTCACATCCTGGCGAACTCAATGGAGTTACTAAAAATAAAAAAAAAATATTTTTACACAAAAATTATTATACAATTGCAAAAAAAATTTATTCTAATGGAATAAAATTTCCAAATATTCTAAAGGAATATATCTATTTAATATTATTAAATTAATTATTATTAATTAAATTAATAATTTAATATTTTTAAAGGAATATATTTTTTTCTACATTAAATGTGAATTATATATAAAATATTTTTTTCTTGAATGAGTTTCTTTTTTTTTTTTTTTTTTTTTTTTTAAACAAAAGGAAATAATTAAATTTAGATTTTCGAGAGGAGAATGTTTCTTTGTTTGGAATACAATAGATGTTTTCCAATAGCATTATAAAATTGTGCAATAATTAAGGAAGCAGAGATTATATATGGAGCACACGCGGAGAAAGTGTTTCCGAAAAATTAACTACTATTATATATGATATATATAAAGTTCAATTTTAGCTCTCAAAGATTACAATACAATCGTAATTGTCGTATGTAAATTACGAGAAAATTCATTAACAATTTATTGACGTAATAATTTAAATTTAAAACTTTAATTTTATTTTAAAATTGATTCTAAAAAAAATATATAAATATTTTTCTCTATTTTTTATTTATGTTTTTTTTTGGGGGGGGGGTTGATATTAAAATTAATAATAATACGTACAGTCAAATTTGCGATGTCCACAATCAACAGCCCAATGATAATTACAGTGTTGATGAACTTTGCCATGGCCATCGAAGAGTAAACCATTTTCACAATGTTCCAATGTTAAACTACCATTTGTACACAAGAAATATGTATTACAACTATCTGGATGTGGATATGCTTGTTCTCCATATATTTCAGGACATTGTGGTGCTCCCAGTAGAAGTGGTCCATGTGGCGATATTGATAAACTTGCGACTGTATCATTCAATTTTTTTTCCTCATTATTTTATTCTCATTTTTAATTAAATTACTAATAATTAATTATTATTTAATTCATAATTAATTATTATAATTATTATATTTTCAGTAAATTTCTTTTAAGGAAATTAATTAAATAATTAAATACAAATTTTTAGTTATTAATTATTGAATAAAAAATAAAAATTCCATATTCGGCTTAATAGAAATTCGGTTAAATTAAAATTTTATAAAATGAATATTCTGATGAATAGAAATTCGGAAATGTTTTTTTTTTAATATGAAAAATGTGAAAAAAATTTTTTTGATTAAAGTTCAAAAAAATGAATGACATTATATCATATATGTCGAATCGATGTAACCATATGGCGACATGATTTCAGGTCGCGACAGTGAAAGTGGCTCGTGTCTTATAAGAATTCCTCTAATATATCTATATATGTCGTAACGAGTATACATATATAACTCAGTTAACCCCCCATTTCAATGACACCCTAACTTGTATTCAGGAAGAAATTGTCCTGCATATATGTGTGATGTGCATTATACTGAAATGCGCCAGTAGTTATCGACATTTCATGTCAACAACACGTGTTCTTTTTTTTTCAATTACAATTTTTGCACTCAAAAAAAATTTCTTTTTTCTGAAATTAAAGAGTGTTAGATTTTTTTTTAAACATTTCAACTGTGCGCATATTAAAAAAAAAAATAAAACCATTAAAATGTTTCGATTGTGTTGAGAGCGTCGATACAAAAACGACTTTCCTTTTCAACATTCTATTTAGTCCTTCGTACGCTGTTTATTTTTTAAAAGTAATTTTTATTATTTATTTATTTTACAGTGTGTTTGAAATTTTTTTTTTTTTTTTTTCATTGAAGGAAAATCGGTTTTGTATTTTAAACGTTTCTTTACCATGATTTAGGTGTGGAAAAAAATTCTTCCTAAAAAATAGAATTACAATAAAAGTTTATTATTAAATTTTTTAATTATTATTTTTTATAATAATTAAAATTAAATAATTAGAATTTAGTAATTATATTTATGGAGAATTTTTCTTGCACTTTTTTTGGGGGGGATTTATTTGAAATTAATTTTATTTAAGAGTAAGAAATTTATATAAATTATTAAAATATTATGAATGGTGTATGAAATTGAGAAAAAAATTTTTTTTCATGAATGTATGAGATGCAGGAAGGAGCAGAACAGGAAGTTCTACTTACCAATGGAAAATATGGTCGACAGGACCAATAGGGTCACACTACTTAAACAGTTCATGTTTCGGTCTACGCTGTACGGACTTTAACTACTGAAGTTGAACTGAAGTCAACTACGCAAAGGCCCCACCCTGGCACCTCCACTTTTACAGTATTTACATTCTCGTCAGACTTCGGCTATTTGTCGAAGCCGCTCGAGAGCAATGTCATCTTGTGTAAAATTTTAAATCTCATATCTAACGATTAGTATAACATTTTATACAATTTTGTCTCTCCCCGTTTATACACGACGTGACTTGCTTTTAAATAACGAACGAACTTGTAATCGCTTTTTCCACTTCCGCTGAATTTTCGTTTTGTTAAATTTTAATTTAACCAAATTTCTATTAAGCCGATTTTTTTAATAGCATTTTTAATAATTTACTATTTATAAATAAATAATTTCATAAATTTACTATACCTATTTACCCTGTGGGCAAAAAAACATGCTCGTTCTAAAAACGTTTTAAGGACGTTCTTAGAACGTTTCATGTCCGCCAAATAATGTTCTGGAACATTTTAAGAACATGGATGTTCAAATAATGTTACAGAACAATATTTGGTGAAACGTTCTAAAAACGTTTTTAGAACGAACATGGTTTTTTGCCCACAGGGTATTCTTTAAAATAAAAATATATTCTAAATTTAAGAATTACTTATAGTATATACTAAATTTAATAATAAAATATCCTAAATAATTTATAAATAATTTCTTTTTTCTATCTAAATAAATAAATTCGTTACTTTAGAATTAATTTTTTTCTCGGATAAAAAAAAGAAGTCTTTTATTAATCATAAAAAAATTTCAACCTATCAATATATTATCCGATCATTTGTTACGCGAGCAAATTAAACAAAAAAAAAAAAAAAAAAAATTAAGTATACACCTCTCAAATAATGGAAAATCATATTCAACTTTTATGAATATAAATGGAGCGTTTTTCATGTTTGAAAAGTCATACAGCACAAAAAAAAATAAAATAAAACAGTAAAAATGCCTCGAGGGCTTTATAATAATCTTACGAAAGAATTTTTTTTTCTCTTATTTCTGTTGGATGTTAAAAGAGAACTGGTGAAGAGGGGAAAAAAAAATCAGGTTCGCAAAAGAAACGTCAGTGAAAGTCATCAAATTGACTCAAGTTCTTTCCTCTCAAATTAAGATTAACAAGCGCTCGAGAACAATCGCGACCTTAAAATTGCAGAATCTTATGTTTTCTTATTACGAAGGTCACCTTTTTTTTATACCGCAACCATAGTATATATATATATATATATGCGGTTGACATGCAAAAGTAAATTTACATTTGTCCGAGGTCGAAGCGAGAGTATATTATATTCTCGTCTCGAAACGAGAATATTACATAAAGAGAAAGGCTGTAATTAACCAATTAGATGGAAAGGTGAAATTTATTGCCCTGTCTTTGGAAAATCTTCTCTAATATTCAAAATATTGATTTAATTTTTTTTTTAATTTCCACGAAAATAAATATAATAAAAAAAACTATATTTAAATAAAAAAATTAATACTTTTTTAAAATTTAATTTCCACTTATACTGAAAATAAATAAATATAATATAAATAATATATACCTCCTTTGCAAAAGAGAAAAAAAAAATTCTTTAAAAATTAAATAAATATTGAAAAAAATAAAAAAAATATTCTACAGAAAGAAAAAAACTTGAAATTATTTTTGAGGAAATGAAAATTTGTGAAAGCAAATTAAAAAAGTAGACAAAAATAATATAAACGATTTCTGTACAAGAGCCTTTTTCTTCTTTTTTTTATTAAAAATTAAAATAAATATATATAACGTAATCTATAAAATAATAACTATTACAAAATGATTGAAATGAATGCGTGGAAAATACACAAGATAAATTATGATGTAATTTGTTATAAAATGCACACAAAAAAAATAACTAGATGAACTTTAAATATATCTATAATCATTACAATAAAAAAAAATCTCAACTGGAAATTTACATATTTCCTGTTTGTGATTAAATTAATATTAATTTTAGATAATCTTAAACAACTCGTTTTGGTTCCCTGACTCATTTTTTTTTCAATCAATATTTAAAAATTTAAGCTTAAAGAAAATTATTTTTACATTATGAAAAAAATATTTTTTTACTTTTACATTGATAATTTATTTTTAATAATCGAAATCCTCGAGAAAAATTAAAAAAAAACAATCGAATAATATTTTCTTACATAAAAGGAAATGTATTTTTCACTGATAAAAAAAAAGAAAAAAAAATCATTCACAACAAAGAGCAAGTAGTGCATCTTATATAATTGTAAAAACTACTTTTATTATTCTTATGGGTAAAAGTTAAGCGTTATATATCGCAAAGCTGGCACCTGCTGTAACTATGTAACTCAATTTCTCTTGTTGTAGTAATCCTCGCTGTAAAATAAAATTTAATTTTTTATTATTAATTTTTTTAATCCAATTTGTTTTTTTTTCATTCAAAATTGATTTCTTTTTTTTTACTACTAATTTACTCATAAATAAAATTGAGAAAAAACAAAAATCATTTGTAGCTCGTATGTAAATAAATAAAAAAAATATAGGGAAAGAAAAAAATATAAAAAAACTAACGAAAATTATATTAAAATAAAAAATAAATTAAAAATCCACCTACTATAAGGTGTACAAATAAATTATAAATTGAAATAAATAAATTAAATTAAATTAAAAAAATTGAATTAAAATAAATTGAATTTAAATAAAAATCAATTAAATTCAAAATAGAAAATAAATTACAATCGAAATGAAAATAGAGGAAAAAATATTTTTTTGAAAAAAAAAAATGCTATTACCATCCTTGAACTAATTCAGGTTCGGTGCACCTGAAACTTTCTTCATTATAAACAGTATCAGGTTCACATTGTCCCTTTTGTGGTACAACGCCATTTCGACATATATAAAATTTGGCACAATCTTCGGGATGTGGATATGTTGGATGAGGAAGTATTCTTCCCTGTGGTCCTGCAACTTCACCCTCAGGACATGTGAAGCCATCGTCTAATGTTTCACGTTTTAATGTTTCACAAAGTCGCGTTGAATCCTGTGCCCATACGCAACTTGACATTTTATCCTCATATATTAAACCAGGTGGACATGACATTACCGTAGCAACGCCATCAATGCAATTCATAAATTTATCACAAGATTCAGGATCATCGTGTTTAAAATAGCCATTTGCCCTTGGACAACCCTTTGTACTTTGTGGCTCCTCTAAAAATAAAATTATTTACAATTAGTCGATATTATAGAATAATTGTGCTTTTTATACATTTTTTTGAAATAAAATTAAAAAAAAAATTTGTTACTGAATTTTTTATTGCTAGGGACGTTATTTTGAATTTTTTTTTTCTATAACTAACTTCAGATTCGTAAGCAGCGACCCCAAAAATCCCCAGGTAACAAGTTTCGAGCAAATTTGATCAAGTTCTTTAAATTCCGCCGCCATATTGGATCCGCCATTTTGAATTTATGAAAACTTTCGCTAACCTCGAATTTGTTATGTCCTTATTTAAATTCTGATAATTTGTAACTTTGTAAATTATAAATTTGTTATTGTAGTGAAAATTATATACAATTATGTTACTTAAAGAAAAACAATATTTTGCGGTAGGTAATTTGAATAATATCGTCAAGTTTAAAATAATGTAATTCAGTGTGCAAAATTGAATTTTAAGAGAAAAAAAAATAAAAAATTTAAACATATAAGGAAAAATTTTTCTAAGGTTTTTTTTTGTAATTATACTCAGGATAAATTACAAAATCTCAATTTCGATTTGTTTTTGCGGTTACCCATATTTTGCAAAGGAGGGCATATAGGAACGACAGAATTGACACTTGTTGCAAAATAGTCGACCTGTTGCGTTATAAGTTTGACTAATGATTTTTCACTAAATAACACATGAGATTATGTGAGTTCCGTGTTTATAATATCTAAAGTTTATTAACCTCTTTCTCTATCTTTCTCTCTTAATTATTAATTAATAATCGAATTAATAAACTAAAATTGAATTTCTATTAATTTTTTAGTTTAATTTTTTAGAATATATTTTAATAAGCAATTAATAAATAATTAATTAATACTGTTAAAATAAGAATAAATATTTTCCATGACTGCAAATTTATAAAAAAAAAAACAATTAACAACCATTTAATTAGTATTTCAATTTTATAATTATTATTATTATATTGTTGTTCCGTCTATAAATAAATAAAAATAATTATTATTATTTTACAATTATTAGTTTTTTAATATTTATTTTTTTTAAATTAATAATAAAAAGAAAGAAGCGATTTTAAAAATACCTCAAATAATATCCATTTTTATCCCAACGAGGATAATAATGAATTTATTTTAATTATTATTTAATAATCGCTTCGTTATAATAAATTAGTAATTTCCTTGTATAAATAATTAAAGTGGAATTTCCTTATTGTCGCTAAAAGAAAGTTTCGTTAACAAAAGTATCGATATATTTCATTATATGTTTTTTCTATATATATATATAAATACCGGAAATTATACATACGACGGTGGAATTCATCAATTTTTCCGGGTTATTTTATAATTAAACATATTTAATTACTTCTTGGCGTGCATGCTATTTGAAAATTAATTAATTCTGATTTTTATAAATTTAATTTTATGTATATAGGTACAATTGAATTTGATAGTAATTTAATTTTTTTTATAATCGGCGCTACATTATTGAATGTCAATATTATTAATTAATAATTAAGTTAATAATTAATTAATTATTTATTTAATTAATAATTATGCATTTTTAATTGTATTTATTGTAGAAAAATTATTTTGTCTTTTTTAAATATCAGCTAAATATTTGTTAGAATTTGTGGATTTGGGTCTCACAGTTCCGAATTTATAAAAAGGACCTTGGGGACCGGTTTTATTATTCTGTTGTTGCGATGATGTTAACTTTTTTTTATATATCTTTTAGGGAAAGTCCAACAAATAAAAAAAATCTTTTTTTTTAAAAAAAGAACTAATTTCATTCAGTGCCTATTTTTGATCTGAAATTTAGAAATTAAATTAATAATCATATTAGTAATCACAAATTAAAATTTAATTTTTTGTTATTATTTATTTATCTATTTATAATGATAATTATAATTGAATTTAAATTCATTTTTTTCATCTATCTACATATTTATTTATTTATATTTATTTATTCATTATTTATTTAATACAAAAATATTATCATTTGCTACTGGTTTGTAATAAAAAAAAATAATAGAAATTTGTTAAATAACAAAATTTTTTTTTTTTTATTATAAGAAATCGTTTATATATAAATTTGATCGATATAATAGATAATCTGGTTAATTTAAATTTGTCATTTGACATTTAATTGCCGGAGATAATTTTTTGATAAAATATTTCACATATACTTATACGAGGGAGGTATAAGTAGACTTGTTAGATAAACGTTTTATGTAAGGAACCGCGTTAGAAAGTTGCAAATTAATTAAAGAATACCAACCGCATATGAAATACTCTAGTTTTGAGTATATATAATTATTCAATCCTAATGACGAGATCACCATGAAATATTTTTATTATATTTGCAAAAAAAAAGAAAAATTCTTTTCAAATTATTATAACATCTATTTTTTATTTTATTTAAATAATAAAAATAATAGTAATGATAATTGTATTAATAATAATAATAAATAAAATTTAATAATAATTTATAATGAATTAAAAAAAATATAGAAAAAATTTCTTTAATAATTTTTGTAAAATCTAGTTTTATTTAGAAGAATAAAGAAAAGAAAAATTATTTATTAAAAATATCATTAGACTTTTTTAATAATATTTTAATATTGAATAATTTTCTTTTTTTTTTTTATTCAATTTGAATTTTAAAAAAACCTGTTTCATTGATTTTTTATCATTTTTTTTTGATTTGAAAAAACTTACGAAGAAGTGTGCGATCGCCACAAGGAACATTAGCGGGAAGATCGCAGAAATCTTTCTTAGGATTATCGTCCCTAAAAACAAGTCCATCCTTACAGAGTCGTTCCTCAGGTTGTCCATCAACACAGGCATAATATAAATCGCACTGTTCTGTATCAGGATAAAAGCCCTTCTCCTCGGGACATCGAAATTGTGTTTGAGCACGAGTCATTGTAATAATGACAAAAAATGTCATAAAATTAAATAGACAATGATTATTAAATGTCACAATTATTGACGACATTGTCGCTGTCATTTTTTTTTTATCTCCACTCAATTTTTTTTTTTTTAATTTTTTTTTTCGTTTCTTAATTTATATTCTTTTAATTTGCGATTGTTAATATGTTGTGTGTGAAGCTTTTTAAGAAGTGACTGTTGGACTTGTACTGTGATCCCGTTTCGCACGACTGAGTTTGCACCGCAACAGTTTGCAAACTTGATGCATTTCACAACACCCTACCCCTTTCTGCGAAACTCATCTAGCACCAACATTTTTCACTTTTGCCCCTCTTTTTAACACACATTGCCCCTACCCCAAGTCATTCAACATTCTAGTGTTCTTGTCTTTTTTTTTAAATAAAAAAAAAAAAAAAATCGTCGAGACTACTCTCATTGAGTCTAGGTAAGTAGGCGAGCTCTTTTTTGTGTGTAGGTGACTTCCTTCTTGTCTCTTACCAAATGTAGACGTTGAAAATTTATTTATATTATAGCCTTTGTTTTCTTAGTACAAAAGGATTTTTTTTTCTTTTTTTTTTAGATAGGTATTGTATTATTAGAATTTTTTTTTTTACAAAATAACGTTTTAGTTCATAGATTATGGAAAAGTTGATGTAATTTTCCTCTTTTTTTTCTTGTAGATTATAAAGTTTTTTACAAAAATTTTTGTATATTCTATTTATTAAGGTTTCGAACTAAATGCCTCGACTATTTTTTTCCAAAAAGTAACTAAAAAAATTTGTAGATTTCTGCATTATCGACAGAGAATTTTTAAATTTTTTCTAATTTTAAATTAATTCTAATTTTTTTAAATGTAAAATAAAAATATATTTTTTTATTTCCAATATAATGTTACAAATAATAATAAACAATAATCCTCCAATATTAATATAATTTATGAAAATAATAATACAATTTTATGACAGTATATTTTTATTATAAAATAATATTATAAAAAAAATTAATTAATTTAAAAATAAAATAAATAATTTATTAATAAAATTCATTTTATTTGTTTTCTAATTAAATTGATAAATATTTTAATTAAGACCTTGATTTGGCCGCGAATCAAAAAAGAAGAAAGCAGAACTGAATTTAATTTCATTTTATCGTGTTCAAAATCAAATTGAATGCACATGAAAGTTAGTTTTAAATCGAAAAGAAAAGCGAATGAAATCATTTAATAAGATTAACACAAAAGTCACAAGAGAAAGTCATTAGTGATTTGCTTCACTGCTTTTATATATTTATATGTATAGAAAAAAAAGCCAAGGTCTCTCAAGAAATGACTCTTTATTTCAACTGTCTTATGATGAAAAAATGAGAAAGAAAAAAAAAATTTTAGAAACTTTTAGAAACTTAGTAACAAAAAAAAAAAATGGAACCACAAAATTAAAACAAATTTTTTTCTATATCACTTTCATTCTATTTTCAAATTCATAATTTTTTTTTTGTATCAATTTAGTTAATAAATTAATGTTTTAAAATGTTTTTTTTTATTAAATAATTTATTTTTTTATTATTTGTTAACATATATTCGTTTTTTTTAATAACGAAAAAAAAATTCAATATGGTGTAAAAGTAATTTATTAGAAAAAAAAATATACAAGTCTAAGTTTCATTTTTTACATTTAAACTAAATAATAATTATAATTATAATAAAAATAATAATAAAGGTACAAGGAGATATATATCCCGATGCGGGACAGTTCACTCATGACAATGTCTTCAAGGTTTTTTGCCATCGTCTTTATACCAGTCCTCACTGAAAAAATAATTTTTTTTTTGTCCTCATTTTTTTAGAATTTCCAATAAATTATTATATATTTGTTTTTAATTTAATCAATTAATATAATTAATAATTATTTCATAAGTTAAAATAATTAATAATTACTAGATTAATCAATATAATTATTAATTATTTAATTAATTAACATAATTTATAATTACTTAATTAATTTTTTTTAACTTAAAACTAATTATTTATGAATATAACGTATCAGTTATTAATGAATGTTTGAATTAAAATATATGATTTTATTATCAAAAAAATTATAAATAAAAAAATAATAATTTAAATTTAATTTTAAATTATAAATAAAATTACGACTCACCATCCTCGAACATTTTCTGGAGCGTCACATCTTTGGATTTCTTCATTATAAACGGTTCCCTCGCTACATCCTTGTTCGCGTGGTGTTACTCCATTTAAACAAACATAGAATTTTTGACAATCTTCTGGATGAGCAAATTTAGGATGATCCACTGCCATTCCTCTTGTATCGAGAGGCATTTCTTTTGGGCATTCAAAACCATCCTTAAGTTTCTTATCCACAGCTCCACAATTCTAAAAAAAAATAAATAATTTTTGTTAATTTATACTTTTTTTAATTTAGAATTTATTCTTATTTTTTGTAACTAGAATATAATACTAAATTTAAGAGTAAATTGGAGTCAAATATTTTTTAAATTGTAGACAGAATTGATTTTTTTTCATCATTTACAGTAAAACCTCTTTAAGTGAGACATAATTTTGAAGGAAATCTGTTTTGATTGAATGTGATTTAGAATTTTTTTTTTGAATATCTAAAACCTTTTATGAAATCCAAAAACAAATTCTTTCAAAAAAAAAATATATATCTCACTTTATAAGGTTATACTGCATTACAAATGTGAATAATTTATCTTTATTATATAATTATTTTACCTATTTTATCTCAAAATGATTTTAGCTTAAAAAAATGATATATTTTCAGTGAGAAAAGTTATCTCTTATTCAAGTCTTAGAAATCAATTCTTTCTGAATTATTTTTTGTTAATTGATAACGAAACATTGATTTCAAAATATATAAATAAACAATTTTCTTCTACAATAAAACCTTAGTGAATGAGACAAGACACGTGTCTCAGTAATTTAGGTTCCACTGTAGTATAAAATGATTCAATACTTATTTGTGTAAAAAATATTAAAAATTTTTTTTTTATTTTTGAATTAATTACCTCACGGCCTGCACTGTCTGGCCAAACACAGGTGCCACTGTATTCATCAAAATGAAGGCCAGTGGTGCAGGTTATGGCAATTGCTTCACCATCGATACAATTGTAAAAAACGTTACAAACTGATGGATTCTCATGGGCAAAAAATCCATTACGTCTTGGACAAGTTTTTGTCGGTTGTGGTGGTTCTGAAATTTTTTAAAATGAAAACCACTTTATTATTCTCTTTTTATGATTATAATTATAGTAAAATTATTTAATTTAATTTTATTTATTATTTAATTAATTTTGACTTTTTGTTTCTTTGAATAATAAAAAAAAGTAAATTTTGTAAAATGAAAAAAAAACTTACGAAGTTCAAGTCGATCTCCACAGTCTACATTAAAAACATGATCACATTTATTAATTTTTCTATTCAATGGATCAAAAACAAGTCCATCGGGACAATATTTTTCTTTTGCAACACCATCATTACAGTCGTAATATTTGTCACATTGTCTTGGATCTTCAAATTGACCATCATCCTTTGGACAATTAAATGCTCCATCTGAAAAATTAAAGTAAAAAAAAAAAAATTTAATTAGAATTCAAATTTTTTTCTTTTATTTATTTATTTTTTTAATGCAAATTAATTATTTTTCGTTATTGATATTTTTTTTTATCAACGATCAAGCGATTACTTACAAAACAAGTTCGGATAAAAAGAAATTTCAAAAAAGAAAATTTTTTTTTATTCATTAAAAAAATATGATTACAAAATGTCGCCTGGTCTCGTTAGGACGACATAAAGTACAAATCTTATATAAGAAAGCGACAGAAATAGTTCTGACATTTACGATTTAGAAAGTTTACGTCTTTCTTTCCAACAAGGGGAAAGGGGGGAGGAAATAATAAATCAAAAATTTCTAATTTCTGTGATTTCGAATTTTTTTTTTTTTTTTTTTTGTTATTTTTTCTTTCTTTTCTTTTTTGTAGAGTAGAAAATTTTCATTAATATTACAAACGAGGTGGCAAAAATTCATTTGAAAAAGAAAGGGAAAGATCATTGAACTCGAAATTCCAAGTCAGACTGGATGCCAATAAAATTCACTTTCTCTGGTGGATATACATGTTTAAACAAAACAAAAAGGCAAAAAAAAAAAAAAAAAAAATAGAAAAAAGACACGAAAAAAAAGAACAAGTGTCTGTATATTATGTTTCAGACTTCCTGGATTTCGAGTTCAAATATATCCTGATTAATTTTTTTCTTTAATTATAAAAGAGTTGTCAGAATTTATAATCATTTATTCTTTTTTTATAATTTTTTGATTATAATAAATGTAATCATAAATAATATAATATATATAATATTTATTATATTATTATATAAAAAAAAGAGAATAATATATATTAAAATTTTTTTACGTAATTATATAATATGAATATGTTATTATATTTTATAATTATATCATATAATGGAAATAAAATTTAAAGGGACTTTATTAATTATCGTAAATCGTTAATGAAGAAAATTATTATTATTATATAATATTATAATTATTGTATTTTTTATTATATTTTTTTATTATAATATAATATTATAATATAATATTATAATAATAATATTTTCTTTATTATAGTTGAGGTCTGTATTGCGCTCGCTATTAAAGTTTGTCTGACCATAACTGGCTGATCTACTTGTTTTCTGAAAACCGTAGTTTTTATTGTTCTTTTACTATTAGGAAGCAATTCTTTGTGTTATTTCATTTTTAATTACAGCTAATTTAGTCTAAATCAATATTATTTTTTTAATTACATAGTATTTTATTTATTTATTTTTCATTTTTCCTTAATAATAATCCAAATGTAAAATAATATTACTATTTTTATTAACTAATAATTTTTTTTATTATTTTATATAAGATTGCTTTTTTATGGTTGATATTATTATTTATTATTTTTATTATTATTACAATAAGTAAAATAATGTATAAAATTTATTTTATATATTAATTTAATTTTTATAAAAAATAAAATGAAATATAATCTAATAAATAATAATAATAATAATAATATAACTAAAAATTTAAAATGAAAAATAATTAATTTGTTTATAAAGAAAATGCAAAGGAAAAATTCAGTTATGTCAATTTAATTATTTAATGAATAATTAATTATTTACTTACGTGCAGTGGCAATGACTGCTGACAAAGTTATAAGAAACACTTTAAACATTTTTTTTTTTGTTTTATATATTTTTTTAAAGGGAATTTTTGGCTCAGGTGAGCCTTTAAAAATAATTAAATTTAAGTGATTAATAAAAAATTGACTTTTATTAATAAGAGAAATATTTTTTGGTTATCAAATACTCTTTTGAATGGCGTCTCTTCGCGAGGAACTGGGAGTTAAGAGGAACGTCCATCGAGTATACCTTGTCAATCCCCTCTCTTTTTCACATATAATATTTCTTTCCCCACTTTTCGTTTCTTCCTTTGATTAAAGGATCGTCAACGTAGAAATTTATATTTTACAATCTTCTTTATCATTTCTTTTTTTACTAAATGACGACCTCTCCTTTGCCCTGGGGGGCTCCCTTTCTCTTTTCTTTATATTTCCATGAAAGTAAAAAAAAAAAAATATTATTTTTTTAAATTAAAAAAAAAATTATTTTATTTACACAAAAATAATTTTAATAATAAAATATTTTTTATTTCAATAAATAAAAAAAGAAACTAATTCTTTTATTGCAAAAATGATATTTGCAAAATATTATTTTGTTAATAATCCATTAATTAATTAATTAAATTAATTAATAATTGTTATTGAAAATTATAATTTTAGAATTTGTTAATATGAGAATCATTTTGTAAAAAGAGCAATATTTTTTTAAATAAAAAGGGCGAAAAAGTGAAAGTCATTTTTATTTAATTTATTTAAAATTAAAAATTTATACAATTATTTTTTATTACCTATAGATTTTCTTTAAATTTGGTTTTGTCATCTCTCATATACAGATTTATACTTACATAATTAATTTGAAATTGATTTATTTAAATTTATTTTAACTTTATATATCTTGAAATAATTTTATTTTATTGTAGGTTATTTATTATATTTATTTATTTTAATTATTTAGATTGTATATTTATTTATTATATTTAAAACAATTGAAAAAACTTTTTAAATTTATGTTACAATTTTTTTTTTGTAATAATTTAATATAGTAAAAAAATTAACACAGTTAAATTTTTTTATATAAATAACTATTGTATTCAGTTATTCATCAGAGGTGAAAGCGAAAGGAAATTTCTTTGAAAACTAATCAAGTTAGATTTTCGAATTACTTGACCCATGACAATCAAAAAATTATGAATTGCTCCATTTAAATTAGTTTGAAATTTTTTTTAATAAACTCTCATTTTTAAAAATAAATTAATGTTTAATAATCAATTATTACTACAAAATATAATTTTTAAATATTTACAATTTTTGATTTAAAAAACAAAAAATGCTCAGTTTTTTGTAATATTTCAAAGTTTCTTAAATTTTTTTTCAGTTATTATAAATTTTAAAAAACGGAAAATGTTTACTATTTTTTTTTTTTTATTACAAATACAAAAGGTATAGTTTCTTAAAACAAAATTATACAGAATTTTTTTAAATCTAAAATTTCTAAGTTGCCTTAGGTTTTCCACCTCTTCTTCTACTGGGACCACCAGTTGGCTTTGGTTTTGGTTGCGGATTTTCCAATGCATCCAATTGTTCATCAGTCAATTGTCCTTTGTACCAGTCTTTGCTAAAAATAAAAAATTTATTTCATGAATAAAAATTATAAAGAAAATTAAATAATAAACAATTAAATAAATATAATGTTGCAGAAATAATTAAAATTTTGATACAATGTTTGCCAATATATTATTATATTTTAATATTAATTTATTATTAATATATTAATATGATAAAAATTAATATTTTTACTTTATTTAAAAAAATATTTCCCCCCCCCCCTTGAAAGAGATAAATGAAATATTAATATTCAATTTTCTATAATAAATTAATTCCTTTAAAAGAAAAAAAGAATTAATTTCTTCGATAGAAATGAATTTTGAAAAATAATTTTTTCTTTTTAAATTAAATTACCATTCGGGAATTTTTCTAGCCCAATCACATTTTCCTGTTCTCTCGTCAAATGCTTGACCAAGTTTACAACCACTTCGTCTTGGTATTTCTCCATTAACGCAAACATAAAAATATTGACAATCTTCATTATCAGGATAACGTGGATGTGTTGCTGCAATTGAGTCATCGACAGCGGGACATGTAAAATTAAAAAGTTCCCTCGAACCACATCCTTTTTTTTGTGCCTCATCAGGCCAATTGCAAATTCCGGTTTTCTCCGAGAATACCAAACCGGCGGGACACATGATCATATTAAATTTCCCTTCGACACAATAATAAAATGTATCGCAAATCCTGTTGTCCTCGTGGGCAAAGTAACCGTGCATTCGAGGACAATGTGGACTCGCATGTGGTGTTTCTGAGAAAAAAATTTAATTTCTTTATTATTTTTAACTTTATTAATTAATTATTAATAATTTTTTATTGTTATTAATTTATTATTAATTTTTATTTTTTATAGAAAAAAATTTATTTTTTTTAGTAATTATTTTATTATTAAAGATTATTTATAATTTATAATTAGATTATTATTATTCATTTATTATTAATAAAATATTTTTAATTTATTATTATTAATTTCTATTAATTATTTTGTTATTAATAATCTATTATTAATAATTTTTATTCATTCCTTCGTTATTTTTTTTATTGTTTTATTTGTTATTAATAATTAATTATAAATTAATTAATATTGAAATCAGTAAAAAATTTATTTTATTTTTATTTTTTGTTATTAAATTTAAAAATTAAAACAGTAATTAAACTTACGAAGTTTAGGTCTCTTTGTGCAATCAATGCCAAATGGTAAATCACATTTTTCATGTTGTGGACTAAAATCATTAAAAACTAAACCATCGGGACATAATTTTTCCGTATATTTTCCATCTCTACAATCATAATATTTGTCACATTGTTCAGCATCAGAGAAAAATCCATTTGGCTCTGGACATTCATCTGAAAGTTCATCGTCATTATTGTCATCATCATTTTCTTGAACGGGTTCTGGTTTTTTATGAACCGGTGTTGATACACGTCGACGATTTTGTTCGGCAGATTGTTGTTTTCTCGACAATGCACTCGCAACGCCTGTAAACAAATTTTTTTGTTAAAATAATTAATTGCTTTTTTTTAAATTAAAGAAAAATTTTTTTTTACAGCAGAAAAAATTAATTTTTTTTTTGTTAAAATAATTAAAATATATAATAAATAATAGATTCTAATGTGCCTTTAACAATTTTTTTCGGGGGATTTTTTATGTCTTCGAACAAACAGAATTATTTTATTTATTTATTATTAATTTTTAATAAATATATTTCAATTTTTCTTTTTAAATAAATTTTTCATTAAGAAAAAAATGCATAAAAAAAAAGAAAAAAGTAAAAACTGTTTTGAATGCAGCTTCAGAGAGCCGGCGCATTAGTTCCCCGAGAAAGTTGTACAGACTTTCCTCCTTGATTGGTGCATTCCTGTCAAGGTTAAACCTTCAAAAAGGTGAAGAAAAAACAAATTTTTTTTTTAAATTCTTTATGATGGGTCAAGGGAATTATTATTATTATTATTTTTTTTTTTTTGAACTCACCGAGACAAATTAGAAGACAAAGAATAATTTCTCTCTTCATCATTATCATAACGATGAAGATGAGATTTTATTTACAAAAAAAAAAAAAAAAAATTGCAGTTTCTTGATCCGTAATTTTTAAAGGCGCACACAAATAAAATTTAATAGTGATATTTTTAGAGTTTAGTAATGCAAGAACTTGATGACTAGAGAACTACTGAGACATCGTCTCGGGGCCCAATGGGTCTTATATATATCCCCCACTTTTTGGACCCCAAGAACACGACAGGTTACAACACTCACTGTTGTTTGTATGTCCAAAGGAGAGTTCTTGTCCTCTTCTGCATAGACTCGTCCCTAATAATACAATTCAATTGCATCCACAATATTTTTTTTATTATAAAATTATATATTTTCATTATTTTTTTAAATTAATTTAATTTAATTAAAATAATTTAATTTATTTTCATTATTTTATTATAATTAACTTAATTTAATATTAATAATTAATAAATTAATTTATTTCGATTAATTTAATTTATTTAATTATAATTTATTTTAATTTATTTATTTTATTTAATTAAGGTGTAATTAATAATTATAAATTATAATTATAATAATTATAAAAAAAAATTTTTTATTAACTTTAAATATTTTCCAATTCTGAAAAATATTGAGAAAGGCAATTTTAAAAATAAAATCAATTCTCAGGGTGAGAAATCAAATCACCTTGACATTCCAGGATTCTAATGTCAGCGGGTACCCGGTCACCAGTTTCCAGGAGGACAATGTCCCCGACTTTACAATTCCGTTATAAGTTCTTTTTTTCTCTTTTCCTTTATTGTCTCATGAGACTTTTTTTTATTCTTTCCAGGAAAATTAATTTTAAATGTATCTAAAAAAAGAAAACCGTAATTTTTTCACATTCCATTAACTTTAAATCATTCTTTGTAATTTTAAGTGTTTTTTTTTTTTAATTGAAATATTAATTTCAATTATCAATTATTATTATTTAATATTCTTTCTTTTTAGTTAATAATTAATATCTTTATATTTCTTATTAAGAGATTTAATTTAAGTCTATCAGTAAATGCACAGAAGTAACGATGTTGCCTATTGACAGGGGCGAGATTTGAATACGCAAAAGAAAAGAAATTTAAGAATATAATTAAACAAATAACAGTTTTAAAATATAATCATAATTAAATTCAAAAAATTAATATATTTTTTATATTATAAAATTATAAGTATAATATTAAATAAAAATTACTGTCATTTGAATTTGATTTTCGCGCCATAAAAACGGCAGTTACTTTACCGACCGTACATTGTTGTGAGGGCGCTGCCGTGCAAGTATCAGTGGTAGATGGAGTACTACATCAGTTCTATGTTAATCGCGACGCCGTGTAAATGCTTCTTCTCTCCGCCATATTATCATTAAATACTTTGGTGTGTTTTTGGTGTTGATTCCCAGACGCTTCTACTCTCGACGCTTACCGACGCTCGGCGTCGTTCGTTCAGTTACATGCGATTGACGCGCGATCGGGTAAATTAAAGTGGTGCAAAAGTGAAACCATCTCCGTTAATTTCACGGACCGTTTGGAAACTAAACAAGAATACGAAGGAGAAGAATACGTTATAACAATAAAAACGTGTACGAAGATAAAGTGAATACAAAAATGGAGAATAGGCCGGCGACGCTTCGTTCCAGGCGTGTCTGTCGTTTCTGTCTGACGGAATCGGAGCCGTTGAGCTACATTTATGATCGTGAAATGAGCAGATTATTTGTGGTGCCGCTTACCCTCCAGATTATGTCGTGTGTCGGCATTGAGGTACTTATTATTTACTTTTTTTTATATGTCTTGTTTTATTTAAATTATCTCAAAGTTTTATGATTTTTTGACCGATAGAGGAATTTTATTGAAATTCATTAAATGTTGGTGTGAATGATTAAAATTATGTAGTACATATAAGTCAATATCAAGGTAGATAACATTGATTATGAAAATACCGACAGAGTCGGACATTGAACGCACCTAGTAACCGCTATGTGACGATTATTATTTTCTATAGAAAAAGTAACAAATAAAAAGATAGTGGGGAGAGGTATTGAATTTATCGTTTTTTTTTCGTTATAATAATATTTTGCCAAAGAAAATTATAAATTAATATATTTTATTGAAAAATTCAAATTTCGAGTAAGATTTTATATGTTACGAAAGGTTTATTTTTTTCTAATTACAAAATCAATTTCCATTATTTTTTTTAAGTGATTTTGTTGGTAATGCAGATTTTCAATTTAAATTTGTAACGTTTAAATGTAAAAATTGTTTACCGACTGATTTTGAAAACAAAGTAATTTAAAAAATTTTTTTTTAATATTTTGTTATTATTTATTATGAGAAATATAACAATAATAAGAATTATTTATTTACTTTTTTATCTTTTATTTCATTTTTTTATAGTGTGGCAATATTTCTTTTAGGATAAATATTTAATTTTTGGAAAAAAATTTTATTTTATCTGAACGCTATTTCTCCTTTTTTCCAATTTATCCAAAACCGCAATCTTTTATCATCTTATTTTTAGGATATGTTTTAAAAAAGTAATTTTTCCTTTGTATCATTAAATTTTTTTTTGATGAAACATTAATTCAAAATTGGATATATTTTTTATTTATTTAAAAATATTTACACCAAGACACAAATTAAATTACAGATTTATTCTGTAATATGGAATTTTTATATTGTTAAACATTTTACTATATTGTGTATATTTTTTTATATTATAATTTTTATGTAATAATTATGTTATTAATTATTTTTTTTATATTAATTATTATGCCATTTTATTATTCGTATTAGTAATAAATTATTGATAATAGAATATATATGTATACTTAAATTACATATGTAATAATAATATTATGAATAATTTATTAATAATTATATTTGTTGATAATTGAATTTTTTTATTTTATTTTCGAAAAACAGTTGAACTGTATAAGGTGAATTTTTGTAAATATGCATATACATGAATCTAAATTATTTATAAGTATTTTAATTAAGGTTCATTTGTATACATATTAAAAACATGAATATTTATAAATTTGTTTTCAATTTTTTTTTATTTTAATTGACTTTTAAACAAAAGTATTTTTTTTTTTATGCGATAATGAAAGGAACAATATGATTCCTTTTTGCGTTTTTCGATCCTTTATTCCTCGATTTGTCCAATCCGATTAAAAGCGTTCTTTATTTTATGTGAGTGCGTGCATAACGTATGTATGTAATATTTTTTTATAGCAATATGTAATAATATTTTTCTAGATAATTTGTAATATTTTTAACGTTGAAATGATCGAAATTTTTTGTTAACTTTTTTTTCTTTTTAAAAAAATGTGTTGTACTAATATTTATTTTTTTTTATTTTAAAATTATTTTATCAAAGAAAAAAAAAATTTTCATTTTAGAATAGATTGTTGTTGTTTGTGATTTTTTTTTTTTTATATAGAGGTAGAAATTAATAAAGTAAAAAAAAATGATTAAAGTCGAATATTTCAATGTTAAAGGTATATGCGGCTGATGGAATGCCACAAATGATATGCAACACCTGTCGTTGGAATTTAGACCGCTCATATAAATTTAAACAACAATGTAAAAAAGCCGATGAAGCTTTACGAGCATATCCTGTATCTGGAGTATTACCCCGACCATTTCCTCCAATTTCCACCGAACCACCCGATACAAATAATAAAAGATCAGCCGAACAACGTGCTCATAATGAACAACAAAAGAAAGCGCGACTCGATAATGGCGATCGTGAAAGAAGAGAACGTCAAGCTGAAAAACAGAGTAAAGAAGAAAGAATTGATTTATATGACGAGGAACAAATGGATCGTGGCAGTGAAGGTGAAAATGAAGCAAATAATGAAAAAGAAGATCGCAAATTAGAACCAGGTGAAGTTAGAGTTCATTCGTGTACACTTTGCGAGCGTACATTCCCCTTGAGGCAAGCACTTTTATTACACATTCAACGTGCTCATCGCGATCGTAATTACAAATGCACTGAATGCGATCGTATGTTCTTCTCTAAATACGATCTCAATAAACATATTTTAACACACTCAGAAGATAAACCCTACACTTGTCAAATTTGTAATAAACAATTTGCTCGCGCCAATTTATTACAACGTCATGAGAAGGTACATCGCGATGAATTACGTTACGGTTGTCAGCATTGTGATCGAGAATTTTTCACCACTGATGAATTAGAAAAACATGAGGAAAGTGCACACAAGGCAAACAAACCATTTCAATGTAACATTTGCAATAAACGTTTTACCTATAAACAGGGTCTCGAACGTCATGAAATGCTTCACAGCGAGGACAAGAGTTTTGTTTGTGAATATTGCAAAGAAGCTTTTCGCACGAGTACAAAACTTGCTCGTCATTTAACAACACACGCTGGTCATCGTCCATATTTGTGTAAATTGTGTCCACGTACATTCCTTCTCTCTCATCATCTCACAAGACACATGCGTTCACATTCTGTTGAAAAACGTCATGTATGCGAAGACTGTGGCAAGGCATTCAAACGCAAAGAGAGCCTTGAGGTTCATCAATTGACGCACACAAAACGTTCAGGTCTTGGTTTAACGTGCGACGTTTGTCAAGAGACATGTCGCAATCGTGCCGATTATGTGACACACATTAAACAACATATTGAAGCTGGCGAAAAAATGGGTCCCGACGGTCTACAACCAGACATCAAAGAAAAAATAGAAATTGACTCAGAAGAAGACGACGAAGAGGAACAATATTCAGACGGCGATGATGATTATGAACCACCGCCTTACATTGTCAAGAAAATTCCCAAAGTAAAAACATCAGCCGAGAGCGAGGAGGACGATAAAGAAATGCGTGACGAAAAAGTTGTTTACGTACGTGGCAAAGATGGAACAATGGTAAAGAAAACAATAAAAACCCTAATGCCAATACAAAGAAGAGACACCACCGAAATTGTCAAGAGTCCCACTCAAAAAACACCAATGAAACAAGAAGATTTACCTGTTAAACAACGTGTTGACGAAACCGAGGCACAAGTGCAAAAAATCGTCGAGTCCGTCTTTAAGGAACATAAAATACCACTGAAACATCAAACAACACCAACAGAACAAAAAACACCCTCACAAAAACTCATTAGTCCAAAAGAAGAGAAACTCGAACCAAAATCACTCAATACTGTGAAAGTAATCAAGAGAATTGTTGTCAGAAAACCCGCTAGTGGCGAAACAATAGCAAAAGAATGTGAATTAGCATCACCGCAAACACCCACCTCTGGTGTTAAAGTAACAAAAAGAGTAATTGTCCGCCGTATAATTCGTCAAGGTGATACCACAAGAGAAGTAATAATGAATCCCGATGGTACTCTAATTGATCCCGCTGAACTTGCCAAATTACCCACAGGTAATGTTGTTAAACGCGTTGTTATGAAAAAATCCTTTGACAAAAGTCAAAATATACTTCAAACAATGATGCATTCACCTGAAATAAAAGCACAAGCAGCTAAAATACAAGAAACCCTTCCCGATCCTCTGAAATTCGAATTAAAAACAACACAAGGAAGTGGTGCAACAATTGTCGAGCAAACATCAACAAAGGATCAAGAGACAAAAGAAAAATTGGAACAACTTGAGAAAAGAGTTGAACAACAACGATTGAAAATTGAAGAATTACAAGCACGTAAACAGGAATATGAACCAGTCGATGAAATGCTACCCGAAAGACATGACGAATCAGAGGACGAACAACAATTACCATTAAAAAGGGTATTTGTTAAAAGGAAGCAAAGTATATATGACGAGGAACAAGAATATGATGAAACAAAAATAAAAGACGAAGAAATACCATCATCGCAAGAATCATTTGAAGTTGAAACACCAAAGAGCAATAAACCATCAATAACAAGTTCAAAAGTTTATGGTAATAAAAAAATAATTCTCCTTAAACCAGAAGAACAACCAACAACAACTACCGATGACGTTGAAATTAATCAAATGAATGAGGAACTTTCCAATATTCTCGATTCATCAGAAACAATTGTTAAAATGCAAGCAACAACATTGAGTCAATTGACAGAAATATCGGAAGCAAGTCAAAAACTTTATTTAGAGAATATTGAAAAAGAAGAAGGTGGTGGTGAAGTGGAGGAGGAGGAGGTAGCTGATCAACAAATTGAACAGGAACCAATGGAGGAACAAATTATTGCCGAACAGGAAACGAATGATGAAATAATTACGGAAAATACAGAAAATATTGAAAATATTGAACATATTGAACATATTGAACAAACTCCACAGGATGAGGAGGAAAAAATGGAACTTGAAGAACCAGTTGAGGAACATATGATAAATCAGGAAACAATACAAAATGACGAGCCTAATGAGGAAGTTCAAGAAACCACATTATCATTGAGCGGTCATGAGATTTCTGCATCTGGTGATATGTTTGATCAAACAACATCGGGCTCGATTATTGATAGTCAAAAAAATGATAATACACCATTGGAAGAATCTGTCATTGAATTGTCACAGGCAAATGATACAATTACTTTAAATGATACACACGATAGTCGCGATAGTCTTGAGGATAAACTCTCACAAATGGAGGGATGAAGATAGATTTAATTTTGTGCGGAGAATTTGCTTTTTTTCCTGTTAAACACATTTTCTAGGCTATTATTCTTTGAAAACAAATTCTTTTACAGAAAAATATTCCTTATTCCTTTAATATAATTCTTAAAAAAAAAAATTGTAATTTAGTTAATGAATAAAGGAACATTTTTTGAAAAAAAAAAGAAATTTTTTTCAACAATAATAGTCGAAAAATGTTCTTTAGTGATATTTTACTTCTTTTTCTTTCCAATTGCGATTTTTTTTTTTTTTTTTTCTATAAACCTAAAGAAATTTCAGAGATGTGTAAAAATTTTATAAACAAAAAATTATTTGGCAAATTTGGGGAAAAAATGGGCAAACAATTTTGAAAAAAAGTTGTACTAAATTTGTTTAATTACTTAAATGATTCAATTTTTTTTTTAATTTTTCAAGAAGAAATCAATTAATTTGGTTGTGTGGACCATAATTAGAGACAAGTAAAATTTTGGCTAACACAACCAAACTTTTGATTAATAAAATTATAGATGCATTTATTTGGATAATTAAATCAAATTTGAAATAAATTTTTTTTTCTTCAAATTGCATAAATTTAAATAAAAAAATTTTTTGAATTAAAAATTAAATATTGATTAATTTTTATACTTATTTTTACACATCGCGAAATTTAATTAATTATTAACTTCGTAAAAACGAAGTTGACGCTGGATATTTGTTTAAAATGGTAAATTAAAAAAATGTTTTTTGAAATTTTGTAATAACTTTATCAGATAAATTTCTTTTTTCATTAAAGGACAGTTATAGACGACTTTTTATATTCTGATTTTAGAGAAATGTTCTTTTTTTTACAAATAATAAGATTTTTTATTTTATACAATGAGAAAAATAATAAATATTGTAGAAAGCAATTAAGAAATATTACAAAAAATACTACTGACATTAAAAAAAAAATGGAAATATATTGATGTACATATTTTTACGACAAACTCTATTGTTTTTGTATTAATAAGTATAACATTTTACTACATAATATTATATAAACTTCAAAGGAATGTAATAATGAAGTAAAAAAAAAATAGTTATATTATTAGAATTAACTAAATCAATGTTGATACATATGAAAAATCCAGCGTCTAGTGGCATTTAAAGAAAAACAGTTACACAATATTAAAATTAATATATAAGTTAATTAATAAATAAAAAATTTCATTATTATTAATGAATTTTAGAATTTATTCCTTCAAGAAATAATTTAAACATAATCCACGTCTTCTTCATTTATTTTGAGACTCTTTTTTTTTACGTATAAAGAAAATGTAATTCTTATATAATGTTAAAATTTTATTATTCCACAACGAAATATGTAACCTTTTATGTTTCTTTTTTGTTGCGAAAATATGAAAAATCATCAAAGTAGAATTAAGTAATTGATCTGGCAAAAAAAAATGTGGTCTTGGTGTAAATATAAAATTTTGTTAATTATATAAAAAAATATATATATATACTTCGCTACATTTTCGATGGGAGAATTTCAATGTACATATATAATAAAATTGCAAGTAAAATAATAATTAATCTGTTATTATCACAGATTATATTTTTCATTAGTTTCTTTTTTTATATACATTTTTCAAATACTTTTTTAAATTATATAATATCTTACTTTTTTAAAAATTAAATTTAAAATAAATCTCTCTCAAAAAAAAAATAACATTCTCTCGTCAATATTCATGATTGATTCGATGCTATTTATTCAGTATATATATACATATAAATAGGGAAAACCATAAAATAAAAAATGAACCCACTTCATGTGACAATTATAAAATAAAAATTTTGTTTATTAATTAGTTGAAAATTATTTTTAAAAAAATTAATGATTTCTAAATACTCCATTTGTCAGTTAAGAATTAAAAAAAAGTTTCTTCGTTGTTTCATTTTACTGATTTTTTTTTACATCTCATTGACAAATTTTAATGGTTTTCCTTGAACAATTAGCAATTAGTGTTAATTATAGTTCTAACTAGTAGAAAAGAAAGATATGCAAATGATATTCGAAAATGTTTGCTACTCTGTATTAAATACAAAGTGTGGTGTGTATATGTCAAAAGATAAAAGATTGCTTTTTTTTGCATACCCTTATTCCTTTCTATCCTTGTATCAGAAAGTAGATTTCAAAATTTAATAAATTTAATATAATAAAATAATTTTGTAAAAATTATATTAATTTATAAATAATAGTTACAGTAAATAATAAATAATTCTTATGGTAAATAATTTATAAATAATAATTATGGTAAATAATTGATAAAAATTATAAATAATAATAGCTTTTAATTCTTCAGATTACATAAATTTTTAATTAATGAAGAAATTATAAATTTAATTTTAGTCAGAAATAATTGTTCTGTAAATTTTTAGTTTATTTAAGAATTTATTTGGTACATTAAAAGTTGGAGTTTTCAGAATGTCATTAAAAAATTTGTTTTAAACTTTGTACAAAGTATTTATCTTTTATTATACAGCAATAGATGCTACTACAGTCATAAAATTATTTTACGCAATAAAGAAGTACTCGCATTTTTAAATAAAGTATAAAATTGACGGTAGGCGATGAAAAATAAAACAATCGTATATTTGAGTTTCGAGTTTAAAAAAAATTTCAGTTTTCAAAATTGGAAATTATAATTTGCAAATTAAATTAATAAATTAAAAATCAGTTTTTAATATAGAAACTGAAAAAAATTATTATTTTTAATAATTATATTATTTATATATTATTATTATTAATTTTATATTTACATAAATATATTTATATAAATATAAATCTTTATATTAATAATAATTAATTTTAATTATTATCATTAATAATTTTGAATATATTATCAATTAATTAAAATCGAAACCCAATATTTGATAAATAAATATTACATAAGCGTATATAGTAGAAAATATTTCGATCTGTATATAATGAATGTAATTTTCGCGTATAACTTAATCTATGAAAAAAATGAAATGGTTTATTAATATTAATTAAAGGGTGCGAGTGTTAATGAGAAGAGCATTCATAAAATTAATATTAATTAGTATTCGGTTTTCGGATAAATGAAAAATTATTTATCGATAACTAAAATTAAAAATCACACATAGTAAAATAGTCGGTGTTTTTTTTTTATCTCAAAAAATTGCCAATTTGCGTTTATCGGACAATACAAATAAAATATTAATTAAAAAAAAAAAAAAAAAACATTATCAACGTGAACAAATATCACAAAATTGTTACTAGGTGGCTCTACTATCATTATTTTCATGTATATAGAAGATCATTGATCGTTTCCCTCTTCTGAAAATTTATGCATTTGGAGTGTAAAGCTGTTCTTTGAATAATTACATAAAATATTAAAAATAGACATAAATATTTTAATTATATATTATGTAATATATTAAATATTTTAATATGTGTATTATACCTATCTATATTATATAGCTGTGATGAGTAAAATACAACTAATATATTATATTTAATCTCTTAAAAGGAACTGAATAATAATTTACGATTTTTTTTTACAAAATAAAATTTAGAACACTTGTAGAAAAAAGGGCTTTAAAAAAATCTAGTCAGAAAATTAATAGCCATAAAATTTGTATCTACAAATTTTTATAAATTTTATAAATTATTCCCTTAATTAGTGTGTGGTAAGAGACGCATTTTTTTTTTATAATATAAAATCAAGCATAAGGTTTTTGTAAAAAAATTTACTCAAAGCTCATTTTATATAAACACAATTGGCAATCATTTTTTGAAAAATTAATTATTTATTGATTTTTTGAATTAATAATAACTAATTTTTAATAATTATTTAAATTAATTATAAAAAAATTATTAATTTAAAAATTAATTATTATTGATTCTAAAATTTACAATAATTTAATATTTCACTGTTACTTTTCGTAAGAACACAACCAGAAAAATCTTTTATTTCTGACTTGAAAAAAATTTACATATTTTTGTCTCTTTATATTTTTTTTTTCTCAATATTTAAAAATCCATTTTACATAAAAATGCGGTATAATTTTGAAAAAGCACTTTCAACCATTAAAATGAATTAAAAAATTAGCTTTTTAGTAATAGTAATAATTTTATAAAAATAGTGTAACTTAAATTTTAACTTGGATAAAAATTTCTTCGTGATGATGCGAATGAAAATTGGTCTTCTCCAGTATAAAGACGAACGTTTATATATAAAATATAAGCATGCAGCATCATGCTGGTTATATATATATATGCTTGATTAAAAAGTGCGCAAATGAAGATGTAGTAGATTAACCGTTGTTAAATCAAGCAGGTTGAGAGCCCTTCTTGCTTGTAAGCCGTTGGAGCTGGAAAATAACGGTTATGACTCTCGATTTTTTTTTGTTATTAAAAAAAAAAGAAACGAAAAAAAGGGAAAACCACGCTCTTCGATTCTCTTTGTATTTTTTTTCTCATCTCTCATCCCTAAAGGCCACCACGTCCGCTGTCGATGTACTCGAACCGCTGTGGGGCAGATATTTCAATTTACTCAAATCAGTATAAATTCTTTGGACCAGTCATTTCATTACATCGATCAATGATTTTTATATTTTATTTATTTTTTTCTTGAAAAAAAAAAAAAATGTTAAAAATACAAAACAATTTTTTTTCCAATTCATTTGATTCGAAAATTAATTTTGATATAATTTTTTTATGGAAACAAATATTGTTTGTATTTTTTAATTTTTGATATTAAAATAAATAAATTTTTTTTTTTATATAAATCATTGATGGTTATATAGGAAAATTTCCATTTTGGCATCCAAATTTAACTGATTTAAATTAATAATATTCTTTTGCGGAAAAAAAAGATTTTGCTTGTCTCAAATAATAATTTTGATTTACATAAATGTATATCTAATAAAATTTCTAAAACGGTATATAAACTTTGACGTGAGAAAAAAAAATTGGTTCTAAATGAAATTAACACTTTGTAAGCCTATAATTAAGGTTGAAGTAGGTGAATGCAATATGGCAAGATTACTATACTTTGTTCAGATAAGATATTATGTATATATATATATTGAAAACAATATTCAGAATTTAGAACTATTCTCACATTTATATTTTTTTACACTAATTAATGTGTTAGATTAACCATAAAGATAAAATATCTAATGTATCCTGTTTCTTTTTTTTTTACTGATAATATATATTTTTTTGTGTGATTTCTATTGTAAAATTTACCCTCGAATTTAATATTTAAAAAATTTATTTTTTTTAATCAAATATTTCGAATTATTTGAATTCAAACAAAATTCCTTGTTATCATCATCCAATTATTGAGACAGCAAAATCTTTTCTATTTATTATCAGAGAGAATCGATTTTTAATAAAAATTAAAGTGAAAAATAGTTATTTCAAATTTGTTACTTTAAAAAAAAAAATTGTTAAAAAAATGCAATCAAACGATATTTTTAATTCACAAAGAGATTTTCATTTTAGAAAATTATAAAATTAATAACAAATTGAAAAAAAAGGAAATTAAAACAAAATAATAAGAATAAATATATAACTGACAAAAATGGTAGTAAATAAATATAAAAATGCAAGTGTTCTATTTTAATGAAATATTTTAATAACTTTTTTAAATTTTTATTTTATTAAAATTAAATTTGTAAAGTAAATTTTTTTTTTCTTCGAATATATTAAATTCTATTTATAAACTTAATTTACAATGAGACAAAAAATTTATTTTTCTTTTTTTCAAAAATTTTATATTTCTAAATTTAATTTATATAAAATAGAACACGTGCATTTTTGTTATTATTTGAATCGATATTTTTTCTTTTACATGCTCGAAGTAGTGTATACCTCCTTTTCTTCAGTGGCCACATTTGCATAATTTGGAAGCTCTTGCTCTTTTGCTGTACCAAGTGCATGTGTATAAATTAAGGCACCAGCCACCCCACCCAAAATTGGTCCAATCCAATAAACCCAATGATCGTTATAATCTCCTAATGCAACAGAACTACCCAATGATCTCGCAGGATTCATTCCTGATCCTGTTCTTTTCACCTAAAATTTAGAAAATGAAAATTATTTTTAAAAAAATTAAAATAAAATTTAATTAAAAGAATTTTTAATTAATAATTTTTTTTAATTTTAATTTTAAAAAATTTTAATTAACAATTTTTTTTTAATTTTAATTTAAAAAATTATGAATTAAATAATTGAAGAAAAGAAAAAATTTCTTACGGCAATAAGGTGGCATGCAGAGACAGTGAGGCCAATAATTAAGGGCGCAACACCTTTACTTTCCGGTTTTCCTCCATCGCAAGCGCCACAAACAACCATTACAAGAATTAAACATAGGAAAAATTCAATTCCAAATCCTTGTACCGGTGTTAATTTATTTAATCCCACGGCTCCTAATTTATTTTCCGAAAAATTCACTTCATCAGAAAGGGCTCTCAAAACTGCTGAACCGGCAATTGCACCTGCACATTGCGATAACACGTAAAGAATCGCTCTTATCACTGGCACCTGAGAGAAAAATTTTCTAATTAACAATAGTAATTAATTAAAATAAAAATACTAATTAATTATTATCAATTATTAATTAATTAGTAACTAATTTATTATTAGTTATTAATTAATTAGTAACTATTTAATTGTTAGTTAATAATTAATTAATAACTAATTAAGTATTAGTAATTAATTTCAATTAACAATGAAAATAATGGAAATAAATTAAAAATGAATAATAATTAATAATAAATTTTTTGAAAAATTATATGATTATATCTACCTTTCCAATTGCCAACATTCCAAATGTAACGGCAGGATTAATGTGACCCCCTGACACGTGACCAATAGCTTGAACCACACCTGCAACTGCTATTCCAAAAGCCAAACTTATTGCTACAACATTGTCAGTCATAACTGCACCACATCCAAAAAAATTGAGTAGTAACGTTCCCAAAAATTCAGCAAACAATGCACGATACAATCCACTCTTCTTGTCTGTTAGCTCGTGAGCACCCAGAGCATTTTTCAAACTTGCCATCTATATTGAAAGAAAAAAAAAACAAGCAAAAAGATTTCATTAAACAAATTAAAATTTCGTTTTCAAAAATTTATTACATACAAGTTTAAATTGTTTAAATATTTTTGATTTTATAAAAAAAAGTGTTTTTCAAAAATTTTTTTTATTTACCCTGGAATATATATATTTGTCGGAACTAATTGACAGATAAAACTCCTTGAAGTTGCGTCTGTTTTTAAAGTTTTATCAATTGTTTTTTTTTTATTTTTTTAATTTAAAAAATTCAATTTTAACAAAAAAAATTTTTTTTTTATTATTTGACAAATAATGCCACTCAGAAAAAAATACTCTTCCGTTTAGAGGATTTTTCTCATTTTTATAAATAATTAAAAATAATAATAATTAAATATGTATAAAAAATTGAATTATTTTGGATGACATTTTTTTTCTTTACTTTTTTTTTTTTTAATTAAAAGATTTAGGAGAAAAGGAAGATGTGTCAAGATGTTAGTTGATCTGACATAAACATTAATTTATCCAGCAGCACTTAATGTACAAAAAAAGAGACAACGAACCAACGCAGCCGTTTAGCAGTTCCGTCGATTTGCGTCATGAATTTAGATCGAGGACGCGTTTAGAAACGTTATGAGTTTTGCCCCGCTGAAACGAAATGCAGACTCCCCGACAGGTTGACATTATTATTATTACACGATTGTCTGTCACACATGGCAAATTATCTAGAGTCCTGGCCAAGGTCAAGTCAGATAAAATTACTATATAATATATGTTTATTATTTTATTATTATTATTATTTATAATTTTTTTCACATACAGAAAGACCCGGAAATGAAATTTCGAATTTGTAATTTATATTTAAATTTTTTTTTAAATATTTCCCTACCAATTTTCATTTTGAAATTTTTTATCTGTGATTAAATCCTAAGTATATTTTTTTGTGCAATTTTCATTTTTAATTAACTTTTTTTTTATTTTCTTATTTTTAAGGGATGGCAAAGGAAAATATTACCAAAGTCTCCACGCAGTATATTCGGAAATTAAAAGGCAAAATTGAAGTTGCGATGTATAAAAATCTTCTGCATACGTGAGTCATTATAATTACAAGATTATTAATTTTTTTTGTTGTCATTTTATCATAAATAGAGTTGATGGAACCATTTTTAAACCAATTTTTTTTCGCCTTTAAAATTAGATTCAATTATTTTATTTGTTTTAAATAAAAGTTTATTTAAAACAAATAAAAATTTATTTAAATCAAATAAATATTAAAAACTTAATTTTTCTCCAGATATTTAAAAATAGAATGCGAATGTAATATTTATAAGTAACCAGGAGCAAAGACATATTCTTAAATTTAGAACAAGAAATTTTTTTGTTAACTATATTGAATGACTGATTCTTAATCTAATAAAATGTTTATATATACATACGGGGTAAAATGTAAAATTGGCCTATTGCCAAAATTTCCATTTGAACAAGAAATCTTTTGATTATTTTGATAATAAAATAAGCTTTTTCGGTTACTAATTAATTTAAATGTCACCCACGCATGAATTTTTTTTTCCTCAATTTCCTTTTTTATACAATTAGCATGACTGCGGGATGCAACAGTATATACACAATTAAACATAGAATCATGAATGTAGGCCGACGAGTTTATCCGCGAGACATGGCGTTCTTATCTTCCTCTTGAACCTCTCTTCCTGAAGATTTATACTTATATCTATATAGGAACGTATGTTTACTCTTGCGGATCACTTGAGATAAAATCTATAATATATGTAAATCGAGTAAAAAAAAAAAACCCCCCTCGATGAAAATTACTATAATTTATGATTTATTTGATATTCATAACTGTATCAATAAATAAATGTGTAAACAAATTCGTTTTAACAAATTAGTCGTGTCGAAAGGTTTATTAACTTTGTTGGTAAACGAGAAAAACTGGTTTTTATTCTGAATTTAAGAATATAACTTTGCAGAATATTATAAATTTCATTCATAAAGTTAGAATACATTATTTTTGAAATAAGAAACACCTTTCTTAAATTAAGAAATAATTATTTTATATTAAGAAAGAATCTTCTTAAATTAAGAAACGTTCATCTAGAATTGATTATGACAATTTTAAAACAAGAAATACTTTTCTTAAATTAAGAAACAATAATTTTAAAGTAAGAGCCGGCCATCTTATATAAGGAAACAATAATCTTACATTAAGAACCAATTATCTTGAATTAAGAAACAATTCATGAATTTATAAAACAAAAAATTGAATCTGAATTTCAGGCTTTTCGATAAATCTTACTTTTATATTTGCATTTTAAATTAAGATCAGCTTTATATTTTCAAGACTAATTATTTAATTTTCAAACGTATTATATCTTAAATTAAGATTTTTTTTAAGAGGAAAATTTTATAATTTAAAATACACAATAAGTCTCATTTAAAATTTCTCTAATATGTAAATTATAAATATTCACTTATAGTAGTTTTAATAAACTCCAAAAAATAAATCTATATTTTGAGAGGGAGTCAGTTTTTTCATGTTTCTTTATGCAAATAAAATTCTATTAATTTAAAAATTCAAATATATAAATAAAAAAATTTACAAATTATAAAAATAAACAGCAAATGAATATTTTATGAAGTGACTAACTTTTTATAATTTTATCAATTATACAGACATTTTTACCATTTATTTTTGGTATTCAATATTAATTATGACATCAAGATTTTTCGAAATCGAATGCTTTAAAATTTTATTGAAATTTAACTATATGGTGAGAATAAATATTTTTAAATAGCGATGATGATAAAAAAAAAGAATTGACTGTGATTTAATCAATTTCAAATATATGGAAAAAAAATATTCAGCCAGAACACATTTCGAGACATTAAATTTTGCGTGGGGGTTGTGTTAGATGATCATTTCACTGAGATGATGTCACACGTACAATTCAAGTTTGTTTCCTTTGCGTGCGGACGCAAATTATCTTTGTCCACTTGCCTTCTGCATCATTCAAAAAAAAAAAATTATATTTTTTGTATTTGTGGCTAGATTAGGGACTTTATTTATTTTATTTATTTAAAATTGTTACTATTATTATTTTAAACTAATAAAAAAATACGTAAAAATGAGTCATTATTAGGAGAAAAAAAGTAACTAATCCATTAATTAATAATTAAATTAATTAAATTTTAATAATTTCTTTAAACCAAAAATTCATGATAAAATTTTAGCAGTAACATATCTTTCTGCATTGTTTTGAATGTCTATTCTGGTTTGTCACATTATGTGCCACTTTATGTATTTTCAGCTCCTTAGTCTCAATATATTTTAACAGCTAAAACTTTGTTTACTTATCGAAACTGACTGAAATTTATTTCACTATTTATTTAAATAATTTTTTACTTTTTATTTTATTTTTTAAAAATTTATTTTCATTTATTTAATTATTTATTTAACAAATTATTCATTAATAAATATTCAATATTTTTTAAAAAATAAAATATAAAAAAATGTCAAATTAATTATATTTAATAATTAATAATAATAATTAATTTTTTTAAATAATTTATACTTTTTTTTAATCTATAGACAGAAAATTAGAAGAATTTTTTTAAAAAAAAATTATTTAATTGTACATAAATATAATTCTGTTTTGATAAATTTTTGAAATCTTTTATTTAATTTGTATTATAAATATTCTTAATCGATTAATTAGTTATTCTTCTTACAACAAAGTTTCTAGTCGTAGATAATTTTATTCCTCTTTATGGCGCGAAAATTGATCAATAAATTAGCCTTTTGTAAAAAAAAAAAAAATCTGACTCTTAAAGTCCGCTACGATTTATCGTCTATAGTCTTTACTTGTTTTTATTATTAAATAAATTACGTAATTATTCTAAGAATTTGCAAACAGTGTCGCTTTTTTATTCAATAATTTTATTGAAATAATTACGTAATATATATAATAATTTTTAATTAATCAGCTCGTATATAGATTATTAAATAAAATAAATTGTATTCATATTCAAAGATTTCGCGATTTAATTTTTTTAATAAAAAAATTTTTTTTTAATGTTAATTAGTATTATTTTCTTGTTTTACTAAAAGATCAAAGGATTTTTTTTTTTTGAAAATACTCTTAGGGTTTTTTTTTTATTTGAAAAATTTCTTGATTAAAAGTATTGAAGTTTAAACCCCCGGTGCACACATGATCATTAGCCATATTTGGGAAAATGAAAAAGTCACACTCAATTCCCATCAATCACGCGTTCTTTTACCTTTCGCGAATCCCGGTTGGACCAGTAATTCAATCGTTCTACTTTTACAGAGAACGAAAATAATAGTTTCTGATGTCTTATTATGGTTGTTGCTAGTCGCGAGTGAATACACTCTAAATATTCAATGCGCGCGGTCATGTTTTCGCAATGAACCTGTGTAAATTCACCTGGTACTATCAGTCATATCTCTATATATATATATATATAAAAACCAACATTACATACGTGATTATAAAGTAGCTAGTTTTGTAAACGGTTCTCAAGAGCAAGACCGCAAATGGTTAACCGGTTGTATGTCAGCGAGATACTTTTTTTTTCTCCTTTTTTCGAATAAAACTCCTTCAATGAATTTTATATTGAATGCCCGCTGAGATAACACGTCGAGTTACGGTTCTTTTGCACATGCAATCATTTACAAAAACAGATTAAGAAAAAAGAAAAGTCTTATTTTAAGATAGGTAAAAAAATTACATTATATTTGTTTTGAAAAAAAGCTGGTCTTATATAATTTAAAAAATCTTTTATAATTTAAACTCAAATTTTTCCCCACTTTATAATATTCTTAAAAAAAAAAAACTAAAAAATGTATTTAAGTTTATTTATTTCATTAATAATCATAAATGTTTCAATTTTTTGTTTGAATCCCCTTGTTGGTCGTAGTCGTTAAGGCGCATAAATGTACGAATCATGAGTCCTGCGTTTGAATCTCTCCGCGGGCGTTAGATATATTTTTTTTATTATTAGAATATAAATTATTCTTATTCATATTTTAATAAAACAAAAAAGAAACATTATTAATGTTAATAAAATTAGTGTAAGAAAAATTTTTTAAAGTTTAAAAATTTTTTTATTTTAATTATTTTTAATTGCCGTTAAAAATGTGGAAAAAAAATAGACGAATTTCAAAATTGGAAATCGCTTTTTTTGCGAAAGAATTTTTTTTAATAAAAAAGTTTTATGATCTTTCGTAAACTTAAATTGCTATAAATAAGATTGTGCTATTTTTGCATATTTCTTACATAATGAAAATAAATTTTTTTAAATACTATTTGATATACATATATTGTGAAAAGTCCCTGACAATTCCTGTTTCGTTACGGTTTTGTTACTCCAGAAAAATACAGAAGTGAGATTCAGTTCCTTTATTGTTTCTCAGATATTAAGAAATTCAAAATAATATATTACAATTAGGTTTTTTTTTAAAAAAAAACTAATTAATAGCAATTAGTTTTTGATTAATTATCACCACAATATTATATATATTATAATAAATTATTTACGAATTCTTAAAAATAATTAAAAATATTAATATTCAAAATTTAATTTTTAAATTAAATTCCAAATTAAAAATAGCTCTATATAAATATTTGGTACATTTAGATGTAATTTTCATTAATTCTTAAAAAATAACTAGTAAGAGAAAATTTATTTATTTTGTAGAAAAATAGAAGTGATGAAAGATTCATATCATTCTTGTACGTCTTTTGTTTTATTCAACATTATTATGGAATATGTAACAAATTCCCATTCGATACTGCGTGCAAAACGGGGCATATCACGAATAGAAAAATAATTCTTGTTTACTTGTGAAGAAAAAATTTAATTTTTCCAGTAAAAAAAAAAAATGCATTTGAAAAATGTTTTAAACATTAAATTTTTTTCAATGCTTTTTCAAAATATTTTAAACATTATTAAATATGTTTTAAACATTAAAAAACTAGTAAACAAACTGAATTTATTATAAACAATAATACTCTCTTTGCATTATAAAAAAACAATAAAAAATAAATAATTTGCGTTTAATTAATTTAAAAATATTTTTAATTATTAAAATGAGATTTTTTTGTGTTTAAAAAAAATACTAAAGGTGCAAATTGTCGTTTATAACATTTCTTTACGACTTGCAAGTCAAAGACAAATATTGACAGTGAACGTGTCTTCATTTCCAACGACTAAAAAGTATATCATACGCACTAATTAACAGCATGAAGTTACCATGTTAAAATTGTTTTATTTCAACTTTATAATTTTTGTGAAAAAAAATAATATTTTTAGTTTATATAAAAAAATAGCCGTTTTTTAACGAAATGATTTTTATCTATTTTGAAAAAAATCTAAATATAGGAAATAAACAATTATTAATCCATTTACTTCTTGTGATTTTGATTAATTAACTGATTGCTATTATAAAAATAGCTGAGACTCACTTCTGTGTAAACAGTAATATTGGAATTTAATAAATTTAAAAAAAAAAAATCCAATTAGTGGAAATGAAAGGGTGGAGTCGCGACAAATCCTCTAATTATAATCCCAATTTTTTATAACATCATTTAAAATTTTTTTATAAAAATTTATTAAAATATTAAAAATTTAAATTAAATTTTATTTTTATTTTTTATTTCTTAATATGTTTATATTTTCTTTATTCACAAATTATCAATAGATTTCTATATATATTTAAATTCAACTTTAATCATCAATGAAGCAATTATTACTTCATTAACTTGTTTTGCATCAATTTTTTTTTCTTTAATAAAAAACAGGTATTTTTTTTAATTTTATGTCATAATTCAGTGGTAATTTTTGCGCTAAAGCATAAAACAATATTTAATGTTTGGAACAATTACCGCATAAATAGTAAAAAAAAAAAAAAAAAATTGTTAAAACCTATATAAATTTCCATAAATAATTACACACCACCATATACGCAGATAAATAGAAATTAAAGAAGAAAAAAATCTATTCGTTCATATGTGAATCATTATTAAATAGTTTGTTGGTTTAATTAATCTTGACCTTGAATAGAAAAAAAACATAACCTTGTAAAATTGAGTTCAATAGTGCCAATTACAATTGGCCAACATCTTCATATGTATTTTTTTATTTTTATTTTCCATGATTGACACTTGTTAATTAATCTTTCTCTAATAGAATTTCAATTCAGGATTAATTACTTCATTAAATTTTTTCTCGACTGTGACTTTTTTCATAATCGGGAATTTTTGATTTGATCATTATTTAATAACAATAATAATTATTTTAATAAATATTATTACTTATTGAATCTATAATAATAATTATCATTATAATTCATTGTAATAATAATAATAATAATAATTATTATTATTATTATTATTATTCCTAAATAATAATGTATTTATTATACATAAAATTAAAGCAATATATTAAGTACGTATTTTTTTAGAAATTAAGTAACGTTTCGTTTCTTATCAAATAATCACTTGTTGATGCACCGTCCTTTAAAAAAAAAATAATCCTCAGTTGTAAAGTGAATAGAAATAATTATCTTATCATTGCTAATATTAAAAAGAATTTTTTAATTTACAAATTAAAATTTAAATAATTTAAAAAGAAAATTTTTTTAAATTAAATTTTTCATCTGATTTTGAGAAATAATTGTGGTTTTCTTTGCGGATTCATTGAGAGAAAGAAAATTGATATCATGAAATGAAAAGAGATAGGTATTCTGCCCTTCTTTGTAATATCCTCCGTACATTCACCTCAAACAAGTATACAGGGGGGCAAAAAAAGGTACTTACTCTGAAGATCTACTAAGAATCACGGGGCTGTAAAGGATTTATTTTCTCTTGAACAATCACTTAAACGAACACCAACAATTTGAATTTATTAAACGGAAATTAACATCCGAATAAAAAATTGAAAAAAAACAATATTTTTGGGTATAATTTTTATATGCGGAGAATTAAACGAAAGGAGGCAACAGCCTCAACGTCGGCGTTTCTGAACGACAACTGGGCTGTACTATAGAGCTTGCCAATCTCATATAGGTATCTGGCAGCGTCTGTTCTGGAACTGAGAACTGAAGTAGCTTTACTTCTTTAGTTACGGGAGAGAAGGGATATACGTGTATATACATATATATAGGAGAAACTAAAACTCAACAACAATAACAACAACAAAGTCCAGGTGGTTGCATTATCCCCTTCGAAAGATCTTTCTCTATCGAATGATAAATAGCGACAAAAAGAATCGTGTTGTGAGATTGTATAGGGAAGCTGGGATTAAAATCTACGAGAAATTCTTTTATATGTCAGATCAGTTTTGGTTTATTCGATTCATAAAAATTTACACTTTGTGATTTCTATATTTTCCGTAGCTGTTGCTTTGAAAAGGTACCTTTATACTTTTCTGGTTAAAGTAACCAGAATTCTGGTTGTTTTAATAAAAATACTGCTTAGCAGAAAGTTCTGATAACCAGATTCTGGTTTGTTATCAAAACTACAGTTTTGCAGAAAAGTTCTGATAATCAGAATTCTAGTTGAATTAACCAGAATTCTGGTTGTTTTAACAAGATTGCTGCTTACCTAAAAGTTCTGATAAACAAAATTCGGGCTGATTTAACTAGAATTCTGATATTTAAAACTTTCTGTTTAGCAGTAGTGTTGTTAGAACAAGTAGAATTCTTTTTTCCACATGACTACTGCTTAGCAGAAAGTTCTGATAATCAGAATTCTAGTTAAATCATCCAGAATTCAGGGGTACTTTAAAAAATACCAGCAGTATATTAATCATTCTTTCTGGTTAAAATAATCAGACTTTTTTTTCACTGCAAACACCTCACTCGAGTAATTTAAAATTTTTCCACAAAAGATTAATTTATTTCTCCAATTTTTTATTTAAGTTTACGAAAGGTATTTCAGAAGTGATGAGACATTCTCACAACACGTTTAATTAAAATGTTATTGTCACAATTATATATTATGCAGTGATGCCATTGGCTAGAAAAGAAATCAAAAATAATTACAATTTTCTTAGATATTAAATTTGAACGGTTCTTTCAAATTATATATATATATACATTTAACGCGTAATGAAGCGTAAAAAGGAATGGCAAACACTCGCACGAGAATTCCATATAACAAAAGCATGACAATGGGAAATAAATTTTCGGAGGAGAAATGCCAATTTTAACGGTACATTATACTTACTTCATTGGTATCTGTAACTTATTGTGATACTTTAACCGATTTGTATCAGGATTAAGTTATCAGAATACTCCATATATAAACATTTTCAATTTAGGTGTGTCGTTATTTTATATTTCAAATGGATGGAAATAACTATATAGTTTTAGTTTATTTTTTTCCTAAATAAGATGGTGATTCAATATATTTATGTAAATCATTTTCCATTTATCGTATACAGTAATAACATTTAATCTACAATAATTTCTCAACAATTCATACTTCTTATTATCTAGGAATGTTTCTCAATAACAATAATACATCATTCGATGCTTCCTGATGATCAATGGTCTAAATCAGAATCTTACTAATCGTAACAAAATTCATTTGTTAGATTAATTTTTTAGTGGTTGATTTTAACTATAATCTAGTATTTATTAATTCTTCTATAACGAATTTCGAGTTTTCTTAAAAATTTTTCGTAAATTTACAATCACTAGTAATGATAAATAATAATTCTGTTAATCTAGTTGTCAGAAACGACAGAAAGTGACATAAGTCAACGAGTGGAGGTGTGGCTTATGACATGTGTATAATAAATGCGATTTCAAAGTCATTAATTATGTTTTCATTCATGAAACAACTCGCTGTTTTAACATCAATTACTTTATGTCTCATCATCACTATTAGGTGCTATTATCTTCGAAGCTTTAACATTCTCTTTTGCATTTATCTGAATTTATTCTCTAATGAATAATTTACTTTCTCTCATGCTGCATTACACCTTGTTTCGAAATCTAATTTTTTTTTTTGCGATTTCCACTATTATGATTGTTGCCATGAAAATGAGCAAGAAAAAAAGCAAAATGACTCGTAAAAAAAAACTAAATGGAAGCCAGGAAGTACGCCTGTTCGTTAACGGGACTTCCGCCCGAGAGGCAGAAATCGAGAAATGGACGACCCGTGAGAGAGCAGGTTGTACGTACTGGAAATAAGTTTTAGTGCGATAGCCAGAATAATTATCTTCTGACTTTTCAGAATTGTGCAACAAGGAGTAGGAGTAGTTGCGTTAGTGTTATATGCCTTCGGCTGTAAATTTAACGGTGCACAAACCGTATCTACAAGTTAAGACCTTGGCAATGCTCGCTTAAATCTTTAGAAACAGTATTTTGTTTTTATAGCTCGTGCTTTCGAGAGTGTTTTCTTTTGTTTCATTCACATCTTATCCAAAATATATGGTTCACTTGCAGTAATTTCTTTGATAAATAACAAAAAATTTTAAAATACATTAATTTCTTTTGGTTGGAAAATATCGAATCTTAAATTTCTGAATCACTATATCTGCTTACAGCATTAGGTCTCTTCTTGTTTTTCACATCCCTGATAAGATCATGCATATATATGTATATTGAAGTGCATTAAAAACATAATATAGAAATTCGTAGAAATTGATGCAAAATAACATTTATAGTTAACTGTTTTGTATCCAGTTATAAACCCGTCATTTTCAAACAGCCGCTTCACATCAAATTCAACCCTAATCTCTTCATGATGCGCATTTATAAACGTTTTAAACATTTATTATTATATCATTGAATTATGCCTAACCAAGGTCTCGAAAACTGATTAGACAAGGTTTATCTTTATATTTGAAAGAGAGAAGCTGTTGTAAATTATGTAAGAAAATATTTTGTCTTTCAATATTTGAGATGATTTCTGTACCGTCGCATTAACAACCAAGGTGTGATAATGTCCCCCCTTAGGTAGCACTTTATCATTTTTTTCTTTCATATTCTGTATTAAAAAAAATTTTTTTTTCTAAAAATGTAAATTTTTGATAAGATTTCGTTTGCTTGATAAATCTTTATTTCTTTCATGAATTAAAATTTCTTTTTTGATAAGCAATCTTTCTATGATTACAGAAGGGTGAAATAAAGAATATTATATTTATACCGAAATAGAAAATTTAATAATTAAAAAAAAGGGATATTTAGTGAATCGATCCTTTTTTACTGATGGAATGAGAAAATGATTTTTCTTTTATTATTTATAACTCACGAATGCTAATTGTCACGGGTTTATCTGCACGCGAGCTCACCATTTTGCGGTAATATTAACCTTTGATGCACATATAAATTGTGAATTGATTAATTAGTTGAAAAAGAAAAGAATGTTATAAGAAAATTAAATTTTTCAGACATTACCATTCTGTTTTAATTATTTTAAAAATTATTTCTAATTAAAGCAAATAGTAACCAACATTTTTTTTAATTTCTCCAAAAATAGTAATTTTCAGCTTAATTTAAAATTACAATAATATTTATAAATTCTTCAAAGCACGTGAATTCAGTTTTGCGTTTAACAAAGAAACATAACCGATAATTAAAGACTAAAATGCAAGGTGTTGATTTAATTTATTTGCTTCAAGCACGAAGACAAATATTGCAGATAAAATGAGAAAAAAAATGTACGCAGATTATTTTTAAAACAATTTTAATTATTTTAATTCGATATGAAATTATTTTGGTTTTACATAATTTTATTTTCTCGTCCACTAGTTTCGAATTGTTTTATTTTTATTATTGTTTTAAATAAGATAAGAAATTTATTGTTGAAAAAAAGCAATTTACATTCTCCTCGAGAAGAGAATATAAATATTCTAATCGAAAATTGAAATTATTTTTGAATTATACACAAAAGTCCAAGGACAATTTACCACCCTATAAGAGATTGACCTAGTTAAAAATAATATCGTACGTGCGATCTTTTTCAAGGAGGAAGTGCATGCATGTCGTTCCGGTCACGATGACCGGAAATCTTGAGTCGATGACTGGCCGCTCCTTCGGTCGAGGTCAAGCTAAAGTCCTCAAGACAAAACACTCGAAATTTTCGTGTATAACCAAATATATTAGCAAATTTTTTTTTTTTTTTTGCAATGAATTGATGTTTAAATCAGAATCAATGATTGTCTAAAAATAATTCTTAATTTCGCGATATTTGTTTAGAACATAACTTATAAAAGTGAATTTGTTTCAAATAATCGCGCGCTATTTTGACCAATCAGGTGACTTCAACTTTGTAGGTTAGGGTATGCTCGTATTGCCATGGTAACACACTGGAGTGAGAGAATAAGAAAAATAATCTGTTTCTCTCACTCCCATTGGTTACCATGGTAACCAGTCCAGAAGGAATAATTTACTTTTATTTATAGGGATTAATAATATTTAATGTAACTATTATTTCTTTTTAGTTTTTATTTATTTCTATTTTCCCGAAATAGTAATTTGATTTTTTTTTATGAGAATATTTATTTTCTTTGTGTCAACATTCGAAATTTTTTATAGTTATATTTATAAAATGTGTGTCACGAATAGAGTCTACAAATCATTATATGTAACGAAAGGTAAGCAATTATTTTTGATGGAAATTTTCCTGTTGAGGTACTTTGGACATAATTTTGTATATGAACTACTTTTTTGGGGGAACTAAAAATAATTTGTACCTAAACCAGAAATACACGTCTAATAATTCTGTAGTGTGAAATAAAGAGAGAACGTGATATTACCGGGTTTTTTTTTAATGTTAGAATAATTTTATTTGCTCACTTATCGCAAATTAATTAATTAATAATATTACATTTAGACAATATTGTTTAATAAATAAATCTATTACGAAATTATTTTTTTTTTACAATTTTATATAATAATTTTCTAATTATTTTAACATTGTCAATTATAAAATTAACTAATTGTAATAAATAGTAATAATATGCAATATATCATTTATGTCTCGTGTCGAAGCACAATGTTCATTAAAAAGACGCACCCATATTTTTCCTTTATGACTTATTAAAATTTGATGAACTTGGTAATAAAAAAAAATTATTTTTTTTAATGACTTCTTTTTTTATTCGTTCTCTTTAGAAGAAAAAAAAACTAAATTTCGTTTCACAATTTATTTGTTTATAAATTATGATTTCAATAAAATTCACTTAAAGGATAATTATATAGACGATATCTTATTATGAGAAAGTGATCTAAAAAAAAAAAAAAAAAATCCCCCTTCTGAAACTATTGTACATAGTTTGTCGTCATGCAAACACAATGAATGCAGAAAAACAAACAAATGGAAAATAAAGGTCTATGTCTAGTTTATATACATTTGTTGATAGCAATTTATCAAGGTTAAATGTTTCAAGTTACTCGTCACGCTATTGAAATCATTTTAAAAATCATAATATAAATGCTTTATTTTATATTATTTATAATAATAATAATTTTTTTTTCTTTTTCATTTCAGGTGAAAATGTCTCATGTGCAAGGTACAATGTGCAGTCGATCTAAGGGTTGAAAAAGAGGGTGCTATTAATACCCTCTTTAAGAAATTGAAAGAATGACTCCCTCAGTTAAGAAACGGCGCTCATATCTTCAACTTTGGCGCGAGTTTCTTGAATTTAATTCACAATCAAACATCCCCGTATTCGCCAAGGTGAGTAACTTATTTATTTTTTTTTTTATTGTTTTTTAATTCTTATCATTAATTGGAAAAAATATTTATTTATTGTTTATTTATTATTTATTAAAAAAAATAATTTTTATTTAAATTAAATAAACTGTGTTTAAACCAATAATTTATGTATTTGAAACAAATACCATTTTATTGACTCTAAACAATAATTATTTAATATCAAATAAATATTTATTTAATAATACAGTCAGGTAATCGATTATTTAAATCAAATATTTTTCCTACAAATTTTGTTTGCGATTAGATTTTTTGCAGATAAATAAATTTTCATTTCGATGCTTTTGTATTTATTAATAAAAATATTTCTAATTTTTTCTGAGAAAAATATTGAAATATAATTAAGTAGATAAAAAAAACAATGCATGTTGGAATTTATATTAAATCTTTCTCGTAATGCGTATTCCATATCATTTTTTATTTTTTTTATTGATTCACATAAATTAATGACACAATAATACTTTCTATTTATTTAAAAATAAATCAAAGAATTGAAATTTTTCTTATATTGTTGAATTTACATTACTATCATTAAGTCGTTTTATGCGCAGAATTTAATGAGCTATCGAATCGTTTTTTTTTCTTTTTCAAAAACACTCCTTATCATTTTAATTTGACGGAGTAATTGTTTTTTTTTCGAAGTTATAAAGTTGATTTTCAAAAAGAACTCGCGTTAGATCTTTGTTTAAAAATACTATATAAATGATGGTAATGTATATTCAAGTAATTAATAATTAAATTATTGTAAATTTTGTAAAATTATAAATTTAAAAATTTTTTTTTCTATTTATTTTTAAGGGGCGCCAAATAAAGAAAAGTGCTATGAATGTTTCCACAGTATATCCGGAAGGTTATACTACAAATCAAAGTGAAGTTACTGTTGCTCAAGGAAATATTGAAGACAACGAGAGTGAAGGTGATGCACGTAAAAATTCTGCACGTGAGTTTTTATTTATTTTTCTTTTTTCTCATTTTAATTACAAATTATTAATTGTTATCGCGTTACATCCATAAATGAAAATTTTATTTGACCAAAATAGGCAAAATCTCGTCCTTTTTATTGTACGAGAATTGCGCAAAAAGGATTGTAATTGTTTTATATTTTTTTTTCGAAAAAAAAAATATATTAAATGGTTACGATGATTTTCAATATATTTTATCCTTGTTGTTTTAGTATTTTTCTTAAATTATTTAAAAATACATGAAACAAGTAATTTTTTTTGAAAATGAATTTCGTATCAATAATACACTGAAAAAAAAAAATATATTTGATTCAAATAATCGGTTACTATTATCAAATAAATATTATTTGAGATGGTATTTTTTTCAAATACAAAAATTATTGGTTCAAATACAGTTTATTGAATTCAATTGTTTGGTTCAAATTAAATATTTATTTGTTAATATTCAAGTAATCAAGTGTTTGAATAAAATGCATTTTTTTTTCAGTGTAATGATACCGAAATATAAAAGAAATAATATTTTAATTGGCATAAAAATATAATAATGAGTGAAAATAATTGTATTGTTAGCGCGGAAAAAAATCGTAAATAATGTGCGTCCGAGAAGGTTTTTTTTTGTTATACGTATATATATATATATATATATATATATAAAGAAACAAGTCGCGGAGTCCTATTAGAAGTAATAAATGTTATTGGAGGAATCTTGGGAAAACCTGGTTTAGGATTCTTCTTCTTCACTTGAAAAAGTGATTCACTACCGATCAATTGATATAATTATCTACTGAGAACTAGACATTTATCCTAGAAGCATTCAACTATATATAGCCAAAGAAGCAATGTTGCAGCTGCAATTTTCTTCCTCTTTGGGGGGGAATTTTCGTTTTTTTTTTCATTTTATATGGAAAAAAATCCTCTACAATTTACATATATTTATCTTTTCTATTCATCGCATTTTCCCCGCATCTTCTTAAAGCTTAATTCAACTAATTATTTTATCTTTAATCATTAAAAATTATTTCACCATTTAAAAAAAAAATAATAATAAAATAAAATAATAATAGTAATAATAGTAATAATAATAAATTACAATTCGAAAATTTAATTCTGAAATAGATTTATAAAAAACTTATAATTAATTGTAATAAAAGTACAATAATTTATAAAAATTAATGAAAATACGCGTGTTATTGTTGTCAGTATTCTTGACATTATTATTACTTGAGTTAATTAATGACTGCAAAGAGAACGTCTGTAAATAAGTCATATTTAGACATTTCCTTAAATGCATACTAACGGAAAACACCTGTCATCTAGAATATCTCGAGAAATTGTTCTCCAACTTATTGTTGAGTTTATTAACATATTTTGAAAAAATTCTTATCTTTTTTTTGTATGGTAACAATGATAATAATAACAATATTAATCTTTTAATTAATTACTATTAATAATAATAGCAAACAATTGAAAATTTTTTTATTTAAACATACATAATGTAAATGTTCCATGTTTTAAAAATTTTTCTGAAAAATAATTAAATAATTATATACTAATTACAATATAATAATTATTATAATATTATTATAATATAATAATTATAAAATATAAAATCAAATTTTTTGTTTTTTTATTAATGTCAGTCTCTTCCTTATCAACAAAGAGTAAATTTTCAATGGGTAATTAGTTGTCAATTGAGTCTGAAGATGTCAGGTGTGCTCTGTTCTTATTTTTTATATTTATAAAAATATAAACATATATTGTAAAAAAAAAAATTATTAGTAGAAAAATAATTTTATTCTTTCGATAAAAATTCATATCAAAATGTGAGAAAAAAACTCTTTCTAATTTTTTAAATCTCAATATATTATAACAATATAACAATCTCAATATCTATTTATAACATTTACTATTTTTTTATAATTTCCATTTTATTTTGAATTTAAAAACTTAAAAAAAATTACAAAAAATAGAAATCATTACTCGTGTTAAAAATTTTATAATTTAGCTTGAGTCACTAGTTTATGTGTAAAATGATAAAAAAAAGAATAAACCAAAGAATACTAAGTTTCTTATTTAAAATTTTTTAAGATTTACCGGATGTGATGAATGTATGGTACATTCGCGCTTCACTTATTTTTCATTCACTATATATAGGCTGAAATATTCTTATTCAAAGCAGATTTTCAAGATATTCATCGGTAATTGAAATTTTATTGTAAACACTACCAGGAATTTGAAAAATTTGCTTTAGATATTCAACACACAATGTAAAAATCTCCTTTTACATTTTTATTTTTATTTTTTTTTTTAAATATCATATCTGTTAAATCACAGGCATTATGTGAAAATATATTTTAAAACAAAAATGTTCTTTCTGTAAAGAATTTCTCAGATAAGCGAAAAAAATTCTTTAAAAAAAAAAAATTACGGTTTTTATCTTTTACTGCATTGAAAAAAAAATATTTTAAATTTGAAAATAATTAATAGGAATGTAACATTTTTTTTTTTTTTTTTTTTTTTTTTTTTTTTTTTTTTTTTGCTATAATATAATAATTTGAATGCAGATGACTTTTCTGCGATAAAACAGATCCTTTTTCTTTCACGTTCCACTTTCTACAAAGTAATTAAAAGTTGAGAAATTATAATAATTAATATAGAAAAGATGATGAATGTACCTACATTGTATTTTATCCATAAATCGCTAACAATTATCCTGAGTCTTTTGAACATATAAATAAAATGTTCAAATTAATCATAGGTGTACTTCAATAGTATCAGTATAGAAATTGGTATTTACAAGTTTATTGCTAAGAAAAGTGTTAAAACATGTGTCATTGTTTTACAATAAAAAAAATTTATTTATTTATTTTAAATTAAGGTTAAAATTTTTTTTTAATTTAATACTGTTAAAAAATTGCTAATTAAATATAAATAATATAATAATTACTTTTTGTTAAAACTTTTTTTTTTAAGTATAAAATAATAATAATATAAATAAAATAAATTCCCAATTAGTACATTAAACATTATATAATAATTTAGTAAAAAATAATTTGGAAAAATAAAAAAGTTTGAAAAAACGTAAATTATTTTATGTAAAAAAAGAAAATTTATAATGAAATATGAATTTCATGTTGAATTTAAACGCGACTATAACAAAAATATATGACTCTTGTCTGATTATAACAGTTTTTACCACTGATGATTATTATTATCTATACTTGAGAACACATTTTATGTTTCATATATATATATATATATATATATATATATATATATATATATATATATATATTTGTGAAATCGTGCAAACATTCTAGAAACATATATATATATAACCATAATCTGAGAAAAATTATTCATGTCTTTCAAAACAATGTTCTGTTACAACTGTATGTTTGAATATAATTTTTTGTCCTTTGAATATTTACACATTTATTATTTTTGCCCTGCAATAAAAGTAAATAATATATGTTAACAAAAAAAAAGCAAGTACAGTTTATATACCATTTTATGTTTTTCCAATGGTATACCATTGCGAAATTTCATATAATATTGTCACAAAATATCTGCTAAATATATTTAAAGGTAGTTTGAAAAAATTCTGTGAAAATGATTTTTTTAAATTCGAAAATAATAATAACTTTAATAATTATAAAAAATAATGATAATAAAATAATATAAAAAAAATTATAAAATAATAAAAAATAAATAAACTAATTGAATATATATTTAATTAATAATCTGTTAACACCTATTAAATAAAGATTATACATAGAATTTATTTATTATTCAAAATATAAGTAAAAATCATTGAACATTATGTATATTATAATAACTTATGGAGAATATGATTTATAGTTTGTTATGTCTTAATAAACTATAAAGAATATTATAAAAATAGATTTTACGATTTTTATTAAAAGAGATAATTATTTTGTTATGTAACTTTATTGTATCATCTTGTATACGATTTTTTTTTAGCATCTCTATATATATATATATATATATATAGTTATAAATTTTATGCGGTAGTAAAAATTCCATAGTCACGTTATGGAATATTATTTATTTATATATAAACAAATTAAGCATATATTTGCAATTATTTTCAAAAAAAAACGATCCTACTTTTTAAATTTTTTCTATATTTTTGATTTTTGTTTCTAGTTCAATGTTTTTTTTTCTCACATTTTTATTGAATACTTATAAAGTTCAATATTATACATTTTTTTCGCATTTTCTGAGTCATTTCAGAGTAAAGCAATTTTTTATAATTAAATAAATTTTAATTTTCCGGAAAGTGAATTAAAAGTTTCTTCCATGTTAATATTATGTTTTTTTTGTAATTAATTTGTTTTTCGTTATAATTTAATTTAATGATTTTATCTCAATCAAAAAATTCTCATACCCCTATTAGTGTCATTAATTTTTCATCATAATTATTTATTAATAATTATATTATGTAATAAAAAATTATAAATAATTAATAATGAATAATTAATAGGGCGGAGGTTTATTGGAAATCATATCACGATATTGTTTAATCCATTGAGCGATAGATGCTCTTTCAAAATTACGAGCTTGTCGTACATTGAGGGAATCCTTGCGATTTTCACTTCTCAATTCCAAATGATGCGCAGCATCCGGAATTATATAAACCACTGCTGTTGATGATAAATTTTCCTTGACACCACCTCCGGACCATGGGTCCAATAATCCGTTACTAAAAAAAAAAAAAAAAAGATTTAGTTTTTTAATTAACGGATCATCAATTTTATATTTCATCCAAAATTGATTGCTATTGTTTCAGACAATAGTTAATAATAAATTGAATTATTTTAAAAATAGATACCTGAAAACAATGTTTGAAGCAGCTGATAGATCGGAACATCCATAATACATGCAAATCCTATTAAATTGTGGTCGAACTTTAAAAGCATCATAACAATTTTGACTAAATTTTTCTTCATTCCATTCATATGGTTCAAACATGTCAGTAATTCCATTTGTACAAAGTGGCATTACCATTTCTGTACAGGCCTGATAATTCCAAAAATCAGCACCCAATTGTGGTGCAGCATCATCAATTCCATTGCATTTTTTTTCTCCAGTGTAATTTGTGAAAATACTTATTGCTTTGAATACCGAAAGCAACAGGTCCTTGTCAGTGAGTGTTGAATTATCAAGATATTTACATGCCTCCTATATAGATTAAAAATTTTTATCATTACTAATAATTATTATTAAGAAGTTAATTAAAAATTTTTAATATTATACTGAAAAAAAAATAATTTTCAGATTCAAATAATCAAAATTTTACTAGTAACAAGTAAATAAATGTTTTTAAAAAAAAAAAATGCCACTCACTGATATTGGATTGGCAGGCAGTGGAGTTAGAAAATTCGTCTCGTAGGGATAATCCACCATAGCTAAATAATCATAAATACTTTCTAGCCAACCTTTTAGATTTGAAACATCATTTGCATTTGTCAATGGTTTACACAAATTCCAATTTTCTCCAAGCCATTTCATTCCTTCATCTGTAGAAAATAAAAACAAAATTTTTTCTTAAAAAGTTTACAAATAAAAAAAGAGAGAGTAATTAAAATCTTCAAAAAATCTTTACTAGTAGACGTAATGTTCATTATTGTTGCCCATGATTGTTTAATGAGAATTGGACATGTTGGATTGGCACGTTGAAAATCTGCCGTGACAATTTTTGCAAATTCTGCACAATTTGTGTGTCCAGTGAATTGTAAAATTGGTGCTGAAGATGCAATTGCTCTGAAAGGAAAATAATTACTTTTCAATTTAGGAAAACTGGAAAGTAAGGACAAAATTTTTGGTTTGTAAAAAAAAAATAGAAACAAACCCTTGGACAATATGGGGATACTTGATACGAAACCATGCACTAAGCATACCACCATATGATCCTCCAAAAACAATAACTGGACTATTCTTCATGTTTGGTTTTGTTTTTAAAAATGTGATTAATTCCACAAAATCTGCTAAAGCTTGTTCCGAATTCAAATATCCCATGTATTTTGGATCAGAATAATATGTTTCATTATCAAATGGTCTTGATTTTCCATAATAACGATGTTCTGCAAATACCAATAGGGCATCAAAATCTGTCGCTATGTCCCACATAAATCCCTGTCAAAAAAAGCAAAAATAATTTTTTTTTATATTATATTAATATTATTTTATTGATAATTATTATATAATTATTAATATCATTATAATTATTATAATAATTATTGTTATAATAATAACAAAATTAAATTAATAAATGTAACAAATATTTTGCATCACTTACGGTATTCTGAGCAAAAACATCGATAAATCCTTCATTTCCGGTATAAAAAAAAATTGGCGCATCATTACCTTGATGCCAAGTGTCATTAATCAGGTATCTTAATTTAAATGTATAATTCAATGAAAAACTGAAGTGATCCAACTGTTTAAATTTCAAAAAAAGAATATATTTTTAATAAATAAATAATATAAATAAATAAAAAAATAATAATAAATGATATAAATAAAAAATATTAATAGTAAATAAATTATCTTAATAGTTAAATAATAATTAATTAATTATTACAGCACATAAAGATTTTTTTTTCTACTCACTGGTACTTCGAAAAATTCGGTTTTATATTCATAAACAGTAGAATTATCAGTTTTAATTGAGCGTGACAATAGTATAGGATCAGATAATAAAGAATGTTTCGAATTAATTACTTGTAAAAAATAGAGCAAAAAAATAATAATTGTCTTCCAATAAATATTCATTTTCTTTACCAAAAATAAAAAAAAAAATTCACCTCACGTCTTCATTAAAAATATTGGAACCACAACATACACGTTTGTACTTAAATTGACATACAGTCTCTCTTCCTCTCTTTCTCTCTCTCTTTTTTTTATAATTGAAAAATGTGAGCGTATCAGTAATACAAATAAATTTGTGATTGTTACCATGCAATTAATTATCTGAGAAATGATAAGATTCGAATGATAAAAGAGATTAGATTGAATTTCGATTTAAGGTACATTATATTGACATCATAGTATATATATATATATAATTTATATCTCTTTTTATTTTATACTTATGACGATGACAAATAATGACGTATTGCAAATAAACACTTGTCCAAATTAATTAACTAAATTTTTAAATTTTACATTTTTTTGGAAAAAAATTTACAATTGTCTTTCGTTTTGCATTTCGTATGCAGAAAAAAAAGTTTATTCATTAAACTATAGATAAGATTATTATAAAGATTTTTCTTTTCCAACATTTTTGTACCATATTTATCTTCTTACATCATGCAGAGAAAAAAAAATTATGCCAATACATGCTCGTAAATTTTTATGACGCCTTGAGAAAAAGAATATTTACATGGAAATAAAAATTATTTTTTTTTGGCTTTTGTTCAAAAAATAGTAAAATCCCTTTTATAATAATAATACCAATACTTAATACTAATACTATAATAGTACCAAATAATAACTATAATAATATTAATGATGATAATAATAATAATAATAATGGTAATAGTGATAATTTTTAACAAATATAAAAAATTTGTTTATGGAAAAAAAAGTTCAGAAATAATTTTTTAAATTAAAAAAAATTATATTAGTAAACTAAAAAAAAAATTATTCTCTAATATAAACTGTATCAGTTTTCAGAGATACTTGATTGACTGAATTGTTTAAATAATAAAAATTCAAAGAGAAAGGATGTAATGGCAAATAATGTGATCGGATCATTGATAGATGTAGATTCCTCTTTATAAAACGCTGTCAGTGTAATAATAATAATAATAATAATAAAAAAAAACATACACGATAATATAAAGCTATACAAACTTGTAAAAATCATTTGCAATTTACAATTATAAGTATATTGCTCTTTAAAACCACTTGTTACTTGATAACCTTAACCTTAAATCATTATAAGTTTTATTTAAATGATTTTGAAATTTCAATTGTGCTTTTTCCATAAGACAAATATTATAACTATTATATAGAAATGAGTAATGGAACTAATGATATTAAGAAATAATAAAATACAACATATTATTGTTATTATAATTTTTTTTTATTTTATATAGATTTATTTTCTCCATTGTGTACTTAATACAAAGTATTACAATTATTATTATTATTATTATTATTTTTATTATTATTATTATTATTATTATTATTATTATTATAAAAATATAAAAGAAAATGAACATAAATAGTAATTAAATGACAATAAATAATTTTAAAAAGGTAATAACATTTTTTTTATAGAACGATTATAAATAATATTAAAGTGCTAATAAATAATTATAAATTGTATATAATGAATAATTATTAAATGGTATTAACAATTATAAAATTATAAAATGATTAAAATGAAAAATTAAGAGAAAAATTAAATTCTATAAGTACATAAAATGAAAATAAATATAATAACGTCCTAAAATATAAAATAATAATAATATAATCAATAATTATATATACATATATATGTATATTATATATATATATATAAAATGTTATATAATTTTTTTTTATTGAACATTAATGTAACAATACGTGTATTGAAACTAAATGATTCGTGCATGTTATATTTTCCATTCACGATATTTTTTTTTTTTTAACAAAAACATATAATTATCTGTAGTGTTTAAGTACTTTACCTGTTACTTCCCACTTAGCATGTTATTAGGTATAAGCTCTTCTTCCGTTCGGAATAAAAAAGGAAAAACAACAAACACACTCTTCAATCATATCTCATATGTCGTATTCATATTTGCTTTTGAAATTTTCTCCAGTTCGCTAAACAATTTGTTGCTATTGCTAATTATACACCTGCATTTTATATATATATATATATATATATATATATATATAAACAATTTCCATTTTTTTATCTTCATTTCACTTAATTTTTGCATTTGGACCTCAAATTAAATTAATTATTTAATATTATTATTTATTTATTTTCAAACAATAAAGAAAATAATAATAAAAAAAAATTGGCTTTTTTATATCAAGTTCGAAGCATTCACTTTTTTTTTTATTTTTTTTTTCTCTTTTCTATAGTCAATTTTCTCATCGTTTTTCTCGTGCGCCAATTTTGTTGCGCGCTATTAAAAGAAACTTATATATCCTAATAGTTCAAAAATTGTTTGCTTCTTCAATTTGAAAATAGTCGAAAGGATTTCCGCATATTATAAATTTAATTGCATCATTCAATGAAAAGCGATTCTTATAATACGACTTCCTAGATTTGGTGCCATGGTAATTTATCGGTTAAATGATTTCTATGGGTTATATTGCAAAATCATGTTCTTCAACGATTGAGAACATTTTCTTTTTTTATCTTTAAAAATATTCCCATAAAATTGATGCAAATTGTCAAAAGACGAAAAATAATATTTATTTCATTTCTATGATAATTTAGATACTAATATGATAATAATATTTTATTATGTTTATATCATATTTATTATTATTAATAATAATTTAAATATTAAATAATTATTTAATAATTTAAAGTTCAATTATTGATCGTTAAAATTGATTCGATTAAATCCAATTTTAATGAATTTTACTGAATATATCTTTATAATCCTTGTTGAATAAATTTATAAACTTGATACAAAGTTTTCCTTATTGATAATTTGTGTGCAATTTTCGTGGAAAATCTGGTTTTTTTCAGTCGGATACAATTATTGTACAAATTAAATTTAAAAAAAAATATGATTTGTATTTAAGATAATAAAATTATATATTCGTTAATTTAGAATATATTTAAAAAATTAAAAATTGCAAATTAATATTAAATATTTATTTAGAAATGAAAGGAAATGAATTCTTTTTCAAAAAATTTTAATAGTTAATTAAACAAAGTATAAAAACCAAATGTTTTATTATGAAATTGTAAATATTAAAAGTGTCATGAAATTATTGTTTTATTGTAACGTAATTATCTCTCTTTTGAGATCTAAAAGTGAATAATTTATAGACTTTTTTTTTTAATCTACACTATATAAATTCAGATTTCTAAGTTCTCGTTCCCAAAGAAAATTTTCATTGCAGGACTGATTTCACTAAACTATTATGATTATAATAAATTAATTTCTTCCCTCATTAATTATTCTCAGAGATATGTATATATAGTAGTAAGTAGTAGGAGGAGGTACAAGTAAACGTTAATTTTATCTCAAGTCATTTGTAAGGCTTGAGAGACTTTGGGTATTTATTAAATTTTCACTAATTTTTCAACTATTTTTTTTTTTCAAATACATTTTAACATTATTATTATTATTTTTTATAAAATCGTTCTAAAAATCTAATAACAGATCTATTTTCTTTTTTCTCATCTTTCTTTATACTTTCTAGTTTCTCTTTTTTTATTTAATTGTTCTTCTAAATCTTTTTTTAATTGAACTTTTTTTTAACAAAAAACTTTTTTTATTTTATTTCTTGTTTTTTTATGTTTCTTTATTATATATATATATATATATATATACATATATATATATATATATATATGCAATAGGCTAATTTGAAGAATGTTAATTGCCCATATAACTGATGGTTTCTTTTTATAAGTTTACAATTGAGATGGAGAGCTTGAATAAAACCGTTTTATTGAGCACATTACTTTTATCGTTGAGTTTTTTTTTAAATATATATCTAATCCTCATAAGTTATAATCTTCCGTGAAAGGAAAAGTCGTATATATATTCAATGCATCCATCTATTAAATCTAAATCGAATTGAAAAAAAATTATATATAGTACTTTCTATAATAGCAATAAATTATTTATCTATCAATAACTATAATAAATTTTGTTAATATTTACAATATTTAGAATGGAAAAAAAAATTATATTTGTATCAAATAAATATTTATTTGCTACAAAATAATATTTATTTGAATCAAAGAAATTTTGTCAATATACAATAATTTTTATATTTTATAATTAATAAAATTTAATTTACATTTATATTTATAAAAAGATTTTCAATTTTTTGAGAAATTTTTTTATCTCCATTGAAATAGTTTTGGATTTATATATAAGTAAGAAATATAAAAAAATTATAGTAAATTGAAAAAATAAAAATAGATACATGAATAGTTAGAAATTGTTTATAAAATTAGACAATAATTATAGAGAGTGTATTTGAATGAAGTGATTAATGGTATTCAATGAATTGAGTTATTATCAATTGACTATTACGTATGATATATAGCCGCAAATGTTGGACAATAATTAAGCATTTTTAATTAGGACATGAGACTAAAACTATTTCTTGAAGAGTCACTATATGTTATAACACCTTCTTCTTCATTTATGATTGTATCATATATGTACACTGAAAAAAAATTTAATTCAAATAATCGTTTACTTGACTATTTATTAAATAAATATTTTTAAATAATTATTATTTGAGTCAATTAAATTGTATTTGTTTCAAATACAGAAATTATTGCATCAAATACAGTTTATTTAATTCAATTATTTGGTAAATAATATTCATTTGATAATAGCCAAGTAACCGATTATTTGAAACAAATAAATTATTTTTTTCAGTGTATATATAGAACTAAAATGTAGACATATGAGTAAACTATTAATGTGGTGTTCGTTTATAAATGCCTCTTAAAATAAGTGTATATACCTGAGGCACACATGAGGTGCAAATACAGTAGAGTGTCAAAAAGATATATATCGCAAAATGTAGCTGGCGTAAGAGGCAAACAATTGGCATTGTCGTTATCGTGAAATAACAATTCTACTATGTGTACAACCACTTCCCATATCCAAGTGCCCTACAAACGCATTTTATCGCTCTATTCTTTATAAAAAGAGAGTAAATTACCTAAAACTGCATTAATTATTTCTCACCTCTG